GTCCCTGTAATGTTAGCGGTAACGGAATGAAGCTGATTTTGCAACATCGCAGCCCAAGCAGCCTGATTTTTAGAACATAATCTTGATTTCAATGATTCAGCAGCAGTTGCAACGACAACCAGCTGCTACCTGTTTGTGGGATAGAAAATCCATCAACCACCAGCGACGGGTTTAGAGACGACGACTCGTCAACTTTTCCACAATAAAACAAATTGCAAATGGCAGCGGCAGGCAGAAAAAAAAAAGAATAAAGGCAACCTCTGCGCCTTGGTTGTTCTCCTTTTAATTTGGTTAATCGACCCCAGGTAAAGATTAACTGCCCCTGCCAATTTAATTCAGCCTCAAATGATGTCGCTTACAAGGTCACTTTTCTTTTCTTCTTCTTTTCTTCCTCTCCTCCTCTGTGTCTTCATTCACTCAATCTTTGACCAAACCCCCTCGCGTCTCCTCTCCTCCAGTTCTCCCTCCGTGAGCAGGATTGAGTTGTCATGTAGTTCTAATAGGCAGCACAGGGAATCATTAGTCCACCTCGGCTCCCTGACTGATGGCTATCTCACTCCAATCATCTGAGTACCGTGCGCGCATGTGTGGGCGCGTGCGCCTGGATAGAGCGGTAGTAACCCCCCCCCCCCCTCACCCCACTGCATTGTGCCCCTACTGCTATTGACGGAGTGTCAGAGCCGAGGGGAGATGTCTTAATCAACTTGGACACACTGGGCATTGATTTGACAAGCTGCTGTAATGACCTTCTTGTTTGCGTAAAGGATCACTGTTTATCTGGGCCACAACTGACGCGCTGAGGCTGCCTCATTGTCATGGAAACTATTATCACTGCTGAATTGGGGTCGGTCCGTCCCCCCCCTCCGTCTCCGTCTCCGTCACACGCACAAACACGCTTGTTTCCTGCGCACACATGCAGCCACATATATTGATGTGATATGTTTGAGGGTAACCTGTGTTTGTGTGTCTGTCTGTCTGAATGTGTCGTTTAACACCAGTCAAAATCATCAGGGGTCAAAGGGAAATGCAATAATTGGTCTCAACATCTTTCACATCAACGTTATGGAAATCATAGCGGACTGGATGGATTGAGTGAGGGAGCTCGATACAGTCATTTTATATCCCTTCCTCCCAGCTTTTGGACATTTTTTTAAACATTATAGCTCATTGATTTACTAAATGACCCATAATTACATCCAAAAAAGAGAATTGAATTTTAAGAAAGCCTTTAGCTTTATCTGGTGTCAGGCCTTTTTTTTCCCATACGAATTATGACCTCCTATGAAGCAGTGCATGTTTAAAGATGAAAACAAACATCGCCTTTGTTTGTGCTCACGCACTCACACGTGAACCGCGTTCCGTCCCCCGGTTGATGGCCGCAGCCAGTTGCCTTCAGAAGAAGACACTCCGCCGAGTCGATTTGCAGGGATCTCAGGTTCAGGCTGCTGTCAGCTTCTGTCAGGCCAATCAGCAACACTCAGCCTCCCCTGAATGGCCCGCACAGCAGACGGTAAATATTATTGGCATCCTGACACGCTCTCGCTGTGGCCAAGTGTGTAAAATTGTTAATAAGGAACATGATGGGGCCACTGCATGCCCGCCGGGAGGATGGAAAGGCCTGGTCTCGTTGGCAATCATCCAAATAACAGGATGAGGCGTCGGCGGACAAGTGATTTAGGTCCTTAGCGGAGTGGTGAAGGGGTTTGTTTTGGCGGAGGGGAAGTTAGGCAAAGTCACCGAAGTCGCGTGGTAAACATCGTCCTTGTGATTTATCCATTAATACAAATGTACACAAAGACCCCTCGTATACACTGTTTGGAAAAATTGCTAAAGACACCGTTCATAGGCCGGGCACTTCAACACTTGAGGGCTATTCTACATTACTTCTGCTAGTCATCTCGACAATATTAGAGCTAAAGGTTGTTGGTGTGTCAGCTTTTAAGAGGCTGACAAAGAGCTGCTTGTTTACTGAAAACCGCGGTTATTAGTTATTTCTATGACCCCCCCCCCCCATGAAAGTCTCAATGTGACACTGCGATAAGGGAAACCGTACTCCTTCCCTTGTGCGCCTAAGTCATTGCTTTTTAAAGGCGCAGTATCTACAAGTCACAGAAGGACACGTTGATAGCGGAATAAAGTACACAATCGTAAACGTTTATGCCACTGTTCCTCGCTGTGTGATTACATTTTTATGGTTCATATTCTGATATGGCTTGTTTTTTTTGCTGCCGCCGTTAAAGCCACGAGACAGGCCCAGAGGTGGCATTTCTCCATTGCTTTATGGGGGGGGGGAGAGACGCCTGCAGGAAAGTCCTGCTCGGTTTCGTTCAGTAAACACACTGCCGGGCTAAATGGCTGATCAATCAATTTCAGTGGGATCGATCTGCATCAGTTCTGCCTCCGTGCACACACCCGGAGCCACTTTATTGTAAATCAATCATTTTGAAAACAGCTCACACAGGGGCCGCTTCCCACTAACAAGCCATCAATTGCAGCGGTCTTATCAGGCCACAAATCAACAGCCACAAAAAACATCTGCTCCATTTCCATCGCTTTCCCCTTCTGCCTTTCTCCGTCTTTTACCCCCGTTCCGTCCCCGCCGCTTGTCGTGTTTTGATGGGTCGTCTGGCGGAGAGGAGAGGAGAGGTTGCGAATCTTCACCTCGCTCACTTAAGATAACCCAAGGGTAATAGTGTTTGCACATTTGAGAGAGAAATGAGGACAAATGCCAGGGTGGGTCGTACATTCTCCTTCTGACCGCCTGTTTGACGTTGGAGTGTGAAATTGCACACTTCGGCTGAGGGGCCTGACGGAGGAGGAGGAGGAGGAGCGAGCAGGGCCCAGGGGAATCGTGGGATGTCCACTGATTTCGAGCTACGGGAGAGGACTGGTTCCGTATCTCGAGAAGTCAGCCGCCCGCCCTCCTCATCACAACACCTCACGATTGGTGCTGCTCGCAGTGTTTGAAGGATTCTCGGGAGACGTCTCGGTGCCCTTGACGCTCGACAACACCGGGGTTCGGTACAGTGTGTCTGGAATGCGATTAGTTCACTTGAAAGACAGTTGTGTTGCACGAAAGGTTAAAAATGAGCTTTGCTCTGGTTTGAAGACATTCTTATCACCACCATGCCCGGCTTAGACATGGTGAAGCTCCACCAGGGGATCACTTTCTCTCTGTACGTGCAGTAGAATGTGGCCCTTAGAATAATATATCTGTACAGTCAGCCCACATTGAGATGCTGTAACGTCCATTCACAGCCCTGACATGACAACAGGGCGAGGTACCTGGTATGACGTCTCCATAGAGATTTCACCAGCCAATGTGGACAGAATGTGACTCCAATGCCTTTTCTGCACGTCACCGTGGATCCCGTGTTGATTGACAGTCTGACTGGTGACTGTGTTGGGGTGATGGAGCAGCTAATAGCACGTCAGCAAAACATAAATCACGACTAATGCCAATAAATAAGCGGAGCGGCGGTGCGGCTTGGGCCGCGAGTTCACCGACTCGTCTATATTAGGCTTCCCGAGGAGGTCAGGCCATTTTCACTGTACCGTTGTATAAACTGTAAAATGGTGGTTACATTAAAGCGCACTGATATTCCTCATGGTTATTTAGGTAACGTGGATGAATAGGAGGCTTGTGTCAGTTTTCCCAAAGGAGATCAACACTTGAAGTAAAGCAGCTTCTTGCTACGAGGAATCAGCTTTCATCAATACGCAAGGTGAGTGTCTATTTTTATTGTTATTTCAATTTAGAGATGTTTTTTCCTCCGTTTTGTAATGGTTTGAAGCGACGGGGGGTGTCGTGTACATCTGTGGATCAGGGGTGAGCAGCATTTGAAAATAGATACGATACTTTTACCGTTTAAGCCTTTTTTTTTTATCTTCTGATTTGCGCTAAACGCTGTAAGGTGATAAATATGTCGTGTGATTTTTTTTCGACATGCTATACATACATGCATAGCATATATAGCATACAATGATTTTTATGAGCCGCTATAGTGTGTCTTTTTATGGCATACAATGTTAAGAGTTTCACGCCATAAAATACATTTTATTTGGAAACCTGTAAGACTGTAATATGCTTTTTTTCATAGTTGCACATCCTTTACCTTTTTCGGCATGCTGTATGATTTATTTCATTTTATACCGTCATTTATTTTCCTTATTTTATATACTATTCTAATTTTTTGATCCTTTTCAACATACTATCCCATGCCTTTTTTCCACATGACGTTTAAAGAAAAAAAAACCCGACATATGACGTTTTTTCACTTTGAAATACTGCACTGCAACGTTTTCTAACATGCAACAAGTATAATACTACTATAATATTACACTTGACTTCTTCATTCTTTAAGGCACACGTTTAGTGGTGAGCACACCGTGCAATTACATGCGTTACAGGTATTTCGATGAGCTTCGTGGCTTGAGTACGCAGACGGGAGAGACCGGACGAGAGAACGAACGTCACGTTTAGTACGTCAGTCAGAGAAGCTAATTCACGCGGGCGTTTTGTGTTCTTTGAATAGTTGGTCCCCCATTCGTGCAGCAGTTGTAATTCATGCTATATTATGAATTATTTTTGGCATACTGTACTTTTTTTCTTATAACATACTTACGGTGAAGTATATTTTTAATGGCATGCTCTACTATGGCCTTTTAAAGAAACATTTAACTATGAATTGACATGCTATAAAAGTTTAATTTAATTTAATACAGTGAGAAGTTTATAGTATGATTAATAGTTGAATTATGTATCTTAGTCTACAAAGTAACTCCAAGCTATAGCTGTAAACTGAAAATATGTTCTTTTTTAAAATGGGAAATATAACCTATATCCTAAAAAGTAACATTAATTAAATATGTAAAACGCATAGAATATTTTCAGTAACTAAGTAACTATACCTAATCTCTGGAATAAAGAGTGGTGTAAGGTGAACGAGGTAGTACAATAATGGAAGAAACATGTTTTTGTACTTGAAATAATAAAGGGGTTTAGAACACAAATACATCCATTTTAATTTGAGAAAATACAAAAAGAAACCATGTACAATCTATGTACAAACGTTTTGTACAAGACAGTAGATTTATCAGCAGATTATTTTTGACAGTGTCAGGCAGATCAACTCAGCACCATCAAATAATCAACATATGCATCATATCTATAACGCATCCAAACTAATTAGATAGCTATGCCAAACTCCTGTTTGCTGCAATGACAATGTGCCAACAAATCCTTTCTGAGATACGCAAGAGCAATGTCCTGATTCTTCCTAAACCGTTAGGCAGCCAGAATAAATTAACAATATTGTTACTTTTCTCAAAAAAAAAGAAATTGCTGAATGCAATTTTAATGTATTGTTAAGACTTGAGACCCCACCTCCCATCCCCACAAGTTTTATATGTTCTATGATAGCTATAACAATTCCCAGCAAATAGTTTATCTGTCCAGCAAAAAAAAAGGAAAAAAAGTAGATAAACAAGAATAATGCAACATACTGTCATTTGTTCAGCGGACAACAACACATATGACGTTACAGGCGTGTGCCTCTACGTGCATCTTTCAGTCATCCATCACTAACAACACTACATAACACAAACCGACAGCCTGTAACCAGGCACACACACCAGAGACTATGTGTGGGTGTGTGTGTGTGTGTTTTGATGACTGCTACCCCGCAGACCTCCCTCCCAATGCCACTTTTCGCAATAGTGGGACTTAATATGGGCCCTCCCCTTGACCGCTTGCACTGCCTGGCACTGTACTGGCATGGAGGCATTGATGGCTTGGATGTTCTCCATGCCAGTACAGGACACCGTTCTCACAGTGGAAAACTCTTGGACGGAAGCTCCCTCGAAGCGAGCTCGTGTCCCTGAATGACTGAAGGATGCTTGATGACAAAACTCTTCATGGCACTTCAAAAAAACACTCTAAAACTTTAGAGGTATACAATGCAAAGACCTAAAACATCTAATAGACATATGACAAGGTGTAGGAAGAAGAGAAATCTCAGTCCATTGTTGTGGGAAATACCAGCCTGAATGCATCGCACAATCGGTTCAGGTAGAAAAAGCACAGTAATCAAGTGTGATGAAAAAAAATGGGGCATTACTTGGTGAGTTTATATTAATGCCAGTTTGTTATATGTACCGTTTTATTCCTGAACAATTATATGTTTAAGTAGCTCACAAAATAATCTGTAAACAAATAATAAGCTGATTTGACATGTTATGACAGATGAATCACTGACAAAATGGAATGTAAATCCTGTAATAACACAAAGTAATAAAAAAAAGAAAGATTAAGGATGTTGTCTTTTTTAATCACCTCCGCTAAATTGGAGCTACCTTCCATCATTGTGATGGCTGATAAACCAGATGAAATTCTGCCTTACTTTTCTCATTTGAATCCAGGATCTTTTATTTTCAAAATACACATTTTTGTCTTTCTTTTTTTTCTTTTTTTTTTTCAACACAACAATCAGTTTGTCGATTTCATGTGTAAGGAGTCACTGCCATTATCAAATATTAATAGTTCCTTATTGTTCAGGCTAGCAAATATGCTATTAACAACCCAATTAAACATACATTTTACTAACATATTTTCTGCAAAAGAAATCTATTTGCTATAAAGTGTGACAACAATGTAATCACAGTTCAAAAATTCACTTCAGGACAATATGTGAGGCTTCAGTATAGTTGCACCACACCCATTAGACAGACATTGAAGCTCAGATAATTTTGTTAGAAAATAAATGTGGCTTATATAATGGGTTGAATTTACACAAACATATTCAGGACAAAATTCTTAGTATTTTTTATTTATTCAATATTTAATTTACTTTAGAGCCAATGGAGGAGAATTACTGCAATACACAGACAGCTTCTCCATATCATATTTTGGGGAAAACATGTTTTAGTGAACACACCAACTTATCTTATCTCCAACTTATGAACCTAATTTAGGTCAAACAAATCTAATGAAAGTCATTGAGTGACTAACATCTTCCCTATATCATTACTTCTCCCATCTACTCTCTACCTGAACGACAACATTTATCCCCAACATATAATTCCTTTTTACTTCTCTTTCCATCTACATGTTTTCGCTAGGGATGCTTAGTAGTAGACGCATTATTTACTAGATACTGCTGATCTTTGCGATTAAAACAGACAAGCCTCGATCTATTTCTACAAGCACGAAACAAAGCCGAGCTGCCAGGCTGAAGATGGTAGTTTCACAATGCAAATTAGTCTACGCTTTATTGGCTCCAGAGAGATGCAGTTTTCTTAAAGAGGGGCCATAGGGGATAAAAAAATAGTTTGTTTTAATACAGCATGAAATAAATGGTGATTTTGTCGAACACAAAATCCTTTGATAGGCAGTTGAAATTAAATATATTTGTATCTCCCATAGTACTTTTCACATCGTTCTTGTCTAGAAAAATAAGTACAAATTGATTATGTTTATGAAGACAAAATAATTACGCTTAAATGTATAAACCCAACTACTTATATGCATGAAGTATATGTATTAAGAGTACAAGGCTACCACCTCAATCCTCCTCCTCCTCTCCTCCATTACAGATGGATTTGGATCTATCAGTGTCGTTAATATGTGCAAAATACATGCTCATGTTACACACAGGCTAGCATAAAGAACACTGGTTCCTCTCCAGTACCCTTATTAGCAGTCTGTGGCAATGTTGCATTTCCATCCAACTATGTTTGAGCAGTTCCCCATGTTAGAGGACCGAGCACAGCAGCTTAACTCCTGAGAGTTCTGTGGCGTGTGACATCTGGATTGGCAACAGAGAACATCCAAGCGCTTTATTGCCTCTGTGCCAACCCTGTGCCAGGCAGTTGCTTTGGTCAAAGGAGGACCCATTATTGCCCACTTTTATGCAATATGTGGCATTTCTTCTACTCGCACATGACGGTTTTGTAAAAGACAAAAAACAAATCAGAAAATACACCACTCTTCTTGTGATCCCAAATCCTGCCGCAGATATGGCGGCAAAGCATCAACGGCGGTCACGCAGCTGCTGTCAGTGTCGGATTTGCTCAATCATAGTTGGAGACTTCAGTTTTACTTTGATGCAACATACTAATTTTGTTTATAGATCCAAACCCTCTAGATTCTTTCACTGTTTTTGTTTCCACCATGATCCCACCTGCTGCTCCTTCCAAGGTGCACCATTAAATTCACGGTGATGGACCAGTTTACAGCACTAGTCAGGATGCGCGGGTGCGATGCACAAACGGACGGACGCACGCGCACGCACACACACACACACACACACACACACACAGCGTGCACATAACTTAAATGATCCTGAAAACATGAAGGACAGCGTAAGTTGTTTTCCATCCTTCTCACGTACTCCAGGTTGATTGACAGCACTGTGTCTGCATTAGAGGTGGCTCAGGCACGCATCATGCAATAGGAGCTTAAAACAGAGTCACAGGCTTTATGATGTGACACATCAGCTGAAGACATGTAGGTGCACGGTTCTTTTTCGGGCCAGAATACACCAACAGCGCACCACTCTCTGTGTTTATAGACTACTGTTCTACAGCAGGGTTTTTCGATCTGCAGGGTTGGAATGCTCTCACTCGACATGACGAGTCAACGGTGAAGTAGCAAACTGTAAGCAATGACGTGATTCCTAACATCCTTAGAACAAGATTAGTGAGCCTCCGAAACCAAGCAGCCTTCCCTCCTTTCGTCATCTCCTCAAGGACGTTCCATCGAGGGAGAATCGGAGGGTTCCGGGGTGTTCTGTCAAAAGAAACTTGTCCAGTTTTAGTGCAAATAGAACAGAAGCAGTTGGGGGACGTGAAGTTGGTGAACCCAGATGGTTTGACGCGAGGCATCTGGGTAGATCTTTGGGAGATGATATGATCAAACCTCATCCTTCGATAACCAGTCACCTTAGCAATGGAGTCTGGTCACAAAATGAGGTGAACTATTGCAAAGAATTACAGGAAGTACTCTTTTTTTTTTCATCAACTCTTAAAATAATTTCAAAAGGTGCTAGAGGGAAGGGGCTGTACAATCCTTAGTTGATTGTCATTATGTACATCACTATGGATACATTAATAAATAAAACGATGTCCAAGAGCATGGAGGTAACATCAAAGGTATACACATCAGAGGTCCTTTCCAACTTGGGCTTCTGTCCGATCCCTTCATTAGAAGAATGAATGAAGAGAAATATATCAGTCTTCAACATCCCTGTCATTATCATCATCGATCCTCCATGTGTGATCTTCCATCGCTTGAAAGAGCATATAGATGTCTGATGAGTCAGCAAGTGTTCAGCATTCATCTTCAACTTCTCTGATTGGTGGAATCAGACTACTGGTGGATTTGTATTGGTTGACTTGGTTGGCCATTTGGGTGCTCATGGGCTTTATCTGAATGTTCCTTGTGTAGGTATTTTCTGGTTCATCTGTAAACCATTTCTTTTCTAAAGTCGAGAGGGGAAGAAGAGAAGACAGAGTTAGTTTGAAATGGTATTCAACATTGGATTACTTGCAACCATACTGCCTCAGATTAAGTCATAGATTTGGATGGTATGTATCAACAACAAACCACAAAGTGCAATTTGAACCTGTGTTCTGGTTCTTTGAGACAATGGGAAGTTCATTGTGTTCACATGCAGCCACTTTGCACAAATATTTCATTTTAGATATATATATATAAATATAATTCTAAGGTTATTGTTCAGCTACTTAAGTGTTTAAAAGGACAGGTCCCCCAGGTTACATTCGGCACTTTCCCCTGCTGACTAGCCATGCAGATAGTTAAAGGGCTTTTTCATGGTTGTGAGAGCGATTCTTGATGTGATCTCATTTCAACAAAAGAGAATGACATTTAAGTTTTGGTTCTCACAGCATCTGAAATAATATTGTTTTTTTGTTATGTAATTTCTCAATTCTCTCAGCAACCTACTTTATTTGTGTCTGACGTCTCAGACATAAATCTAAATCCAAATTTAAAATTCTGTGTAAAATGCATTGAAATATTTGGCCTGAGCCTTTAAATATATATATTCTAAAAAGTCATATATCAGGATAAGCTTTTCTTTTACGCTGCCATTATGGGATGGAAGAGATCTTTTCATGTTTATTTAGGCTATGAGAGCCCTGTATGAGGAAAAGGAGAGGTGTGTGCCAGCTGTCAGAAGTTTGTAAACTCGCTCCCAGCATCTGCAATGCCATACGAGATGTCACTTCCTTTTGGGTGAAGTTGTAATATAGGACTTTACCTCGTGTGTGTGTGTGGCTGCTGGTATGTGCACGCGTGTATGTGTGAGTGTAAATGCGTGCTCATGTACATTTGGTCTTGCGTGTGTGGAGATTCATTTGTGAAAGCTTGAGCGCGTGTCAGCAAGCTGAAGGCTGTAGGGCCGTGTGATACAGCGCAGGCATTTGATGTGTAGAATTGTGCCTGAGGTGAAGCAAGATGTCTGCCATCTCTCTCCAGAGTCTGCTGCTGATATGGGGAACTCAGTGATGTCGCCTCAAACCACCAATGCAGGTGCACGCGGTTACAAGGAGTCAACGCACATCCTCCTGCAATTTACACTCTAAATTAGTCACAGCTCCTACTTTCTCAGTTTGACCGTTGGCACAGAGCTGGATACTTTCTTAAAGTTCTGTGAAGAAGTCTTGGTGGCTTCAGTGGGATGTGAATCAGGCTGACCCACATGTGAGCTGTGATCTGTGTTTGTCCAGTGTGAAAACATGTTGTTACTCTGTTATTTATGCTGATTTCATTACTGTAATAATATTCACACAGTGAGTTTGGTTCATTAGGACCAAATGAAAAAATAGGAGCATGGCTGCACTTTTGGTTGCACAGTTCTGCTCTCTTTCCTGTTCCCACTGATGTTTTACAATCAAACCAGAGGAGTAAATATCAAGTGACTTGGAGTTTGGTGATTGGGCTGTTTGGGCTGTTCCCTCATCGTTCGGACCCACATGGGGTTAATTCAACTCGGGTGGCTAACTTAACTACTTCAAATGTGTATATTAATGTTATTTGGTATCACAAACTTCACAAATATATAATTGATTTGAAGCTATTACAGTATTAGTATTATTAGACAGACATTATTATCATTAGACAAATGGCCGTGTTTTAAAATGGATAATGACTGACAGTTGGAAGCAGGACAAAAGCCCGATTTGTGCGTAGTAATTATTCTGGGCTTATTACTCTGGTTTCAGTGTCAAAGACTTTTTAATGGTCCTAATGAACTGACAGGGCACGCAAAGTCAGATTGAAGCTCAGCAGTTAGTTTCTTTTAACCTATTAATCAGGGAAAATACCCACAATGACTTGCTTAAGTGTTGATTTGCATAAATACGTTATATACACGGTATAATAAAGATCAATTAATTACTGAACAGCTATCACAATTAACTACAATTAGTTGTGAAAGCACTCTAAATGTCTGCTACAGTCATCTGTTGGCATTCGATAGGAGTGAAGATGTACAAACACGCAGACCTCACACACAATGCATTCCATCTCAAGTTGAAAGAAATCACAAAAAGCATGATAAATGCCAAAAAAAAGGGCTTGGCCAGGGTAAAAAGAAAAGTCATATCATCATGTGAGTAACTAAGTAAAAGCACAAAGAAAAGTATTTTTTTGTGTCATCCTCATGCAAGGGGGAGATGGTCCTGATCATGGCTCAGGCAGGAGCAGCAGACATTATGCTATCCAGATGAAAGCAAAACTTAAACTGAGGCATGGTTCACTTAACATCTGAAGAACGTAATAAATAAAGCAAACTCCCCTCGTCATAACAATATCCAGAGGACACAGTTATGATCAGAACCCCAGGGTAGGTGGCTAAGTCATGCAGAATCGTTAACTTGCATACCTTGGCCCATTCTATTCATCCTTGTTGCACTTCAGAAAAAAAGGTAAGTAATCTATTGTAAGTGAGTAGTATTTACAGTCAATACACAAACGACTAACTAGGGCTTACATATTGATACTATAGCATACATCTTATCTATGAGATGTAATCAAGGCTTATCATCTACCATAAAACAAATACTTGAGTATGATCATAACAAATCTGCATGCTTTTAGAATATGCCACAACTTCTTTTTTTGTTGTTGTTGGGGCGTATAGAATGTACAACATGTGATTCAAACGTTGCCAGATTTGAAATCTTATAATATAATTGTATTATAAACAGAACAGGAAAGAGTGCTACCAATATGCAATAAAGCATTATGGATGAAAACTAAATATTAACACTGCTAATAAGGGATGTTGTTATGAGTAGCTTATGTTAGTCAAACGTGGCTTGTTACCAATATCAGCTGCAGTTGGTCTAAAACAAACCATCCACGATCAATGCACAATAATCATATCAGTTAAATATCCAACAAAAAAACAGTCAAACACTACACAGAGTAACTAAAGACAAAACAACCAAATATTAAGACAAACCACAAACTAAACGTGAGTAGTGTTGTATTTTGTGAATTTAATTGTTTTCCCTCTCATAATGCCACTGAGTAAATTAATTTAAAAAAGGGCTACAGTTTGTGACAACAATAAAAGAGCTTTCCACAAAGCGAGTTTAAATACTTTGCTCGTGTCCCGTTATGATTGCTGTGATGCGAAAGTGAACGCCACATGCAGATGATCGTGAAGGAAACACACAAACACTGAGCACAAATCACACAAACGAACCACAAACACACAATACGAAGTAATTATGAATGAATGCCTCGTCACAGTCTGCATGATAACACAGAAATGCAGTTCAGGTTTCAAAAACACCAAGCATGCAGACCAAAAGCCTAAAGAAGAGTTGAATGCACGTACTTCTGTTTATCGCGGGACTCCCGGCTCTTACTGCTGCGGTTCTGCCGGTTGGAGGGCGGGATTGAGTGAACGGAGGAGCTCTTTTTGCTGGAGGAATGGGAGGAGTGGGAAGAGTGGGACAAGCTTGTCCGGGACTGGCCTGCATTGTGGTCGAACTGCATAAGGCAGAAGATCAGGTCTGTGGGCACGAGCTCAAACTCATAGGGTGGGTTCGTGATCACATACCTGCACAGGAAACAAAAGTCGGGCAAGATGAAGATGTGACAACACTGTAGTGACGGATGTAGGCATATATTAAGCACACTTCATCCCTACAGGATCTAAAGGTGTTTGTGTAAAATTGCACAGGTTGTACTTAAGAAATGCAGAGACTATTTTGAAATTGTTATATTCATACAAGCATGCATATGAATGTGTGGCTTTCAGGAGATTAAATTGTATATAACAGGAGCATGTCATATAACATGGCAAATGTGTTAACAATACATACAGTACTTGATGCTGTTTGATATTCAACCTAAAGCTCTATATCTGGTCGTTTTATAATGGCATAGTGCTGTAGGCAGAAGTTGTACCGTTTTGTACACGGGCTCGGTGCATTTAGGTGAGCGTCTCTTAATCTGTAGATCCCAAAACACAACATGTTGTACGTCTTCAGCGCTTTACAGAATAAATCCCCGTAGCAGCCGCCGTCCTGGGGAACAACAGAACAGAGACACCATCAGTTCAGTGGGCAGGTCAGCCTGATGAAGTGGATCTGTGGCAGTAAACAATGCGAGCGAATAACAGCTGTTGGAAAGGCAGACTGTGTGAATCCTCAGTGTTGTAAATCATGCCATAATTCATCAAAGAGGACACTAGAAATTCAGAATAACAATGACAAAAGAACCCAAATAAGCTTGCCGGTGTTCATCGTTCTTTCCAAAGCCCTCTTCTCTCTCCACCCACCATGACCTGCTTCGCGTGATCCCCCCCCCCGCTCTTCACATCGGATTAAGGGCCGCGAGGAGCGGAAGCGGCCCGATGCGTGCTGCCGGCTGGTGCCAAAACGCGTCACCTTCGCATAAACATCCACTTACCCCCAAGTCGGCAAATGGCCCGTCGTAGAGGGCCAGCTGGGCGACGCGACACCTGTCTCTGTTTGCCAATGTCTGAGGTGTGCTGTAGCCGCCCCTGAGGGCGTTCTCCTCAGCCAACAGGCCCTCGAGCTCGGGTGTGGCTCCACCTGTAACCAGCGTCCGGATCAGCGTGAGGATGTTGTCATTGAAGTATGTCTGGGGAAGAGGCACAGGGGGATTATGGGTAAGCAGAGGCCAGTAGAGGCACAAGTAGCAGGGCGTGAGATGCGAAAAAGACTACGTCAGCCTGACGCTTCGTACGGAACTCTGTGGGAGCTGAATGGATGTGGATGGAATTTTGTTGGTGGTATTTTTAACATTTATTATGTTTGAAAAATGTCTTTGTAGGATTGGCATTGCTGTCACTTGACTTGACAAACTCAAAATAATTTCTCTGTTAAGTTTGTGTTTAACCCGCTGTATACAGAAGCGATATATACCTTGGAAAACCCAGGCAGGGTAAACTAATGTAATTAAATAGAAAAAATCTTGATGTTGAATTTCGTAAATAGGGGTAATTGATCCATTCGCATTTCTTATTACCTACCGAGATTATCAATATAAATAATCAACCATAGATTGAATAAAAACAAGTTTTACTTATTCACTATAAAAATGATATCACACATTTATGATTTAATATACATAAATTGTTCCTATTTGAGAAAAACATGGAAACATTTCAATTTTGATGATCCCATCATCACATTAAGTCAAACAGGACATTGACACAGCAGGACTATTTTTTTTCTCCAGAAACACTGATCCCTGTCGGATGTCTGCTCCTGAAACAGCAATTTGACTGCGCTCGGCGGAGGGTCGGCTTCTCTTGTCCCCCAGAGCCAATCAGGACCGGCCTTTGCCGCGCGCGAAGACAGCCGATGTCACCCGCCAGCCGGGCCAGAGTGACAGCTCCTCTCGCTGGGCCTCTGTCAAAGACCGCAGAGCCTCATGATGGATGAGCACTGTCCATTAGCTGGCCTCACCTCTGACCGTCTCCAGACTACAGCCGACGCCGGCTCTGTGCGCCTCTCTGACCCCTAACTCGCTGGGAGCTCTGCTGGAATTAAGCCATCACAGCGCCGAAGGGAGAGCACAGCGAGAAGGACGGAGGTACTTGCTTTGTAAAAAGATCTCGTAAAGCTCCTAAAAGTGAAATTCATAGCACTCAAGATGAGGAGTGATGCAATTTCTAAAATATTGCATCTAAGGATTCACTATGCTAAGTTCAGGAATCAGGAAACATTATTGCCAGAATATGTTAGACATACAAGGAATTTGACTTGGCGGTTGGTGCGTAACAGCAGATAGTACGACAATGGACAACAAGAGGACAAGACAGCAGTGCAAGAGGGATGAAATAAAATATAATGCTATGGGTTAGTAATATAAGGCTATGGGTTAGTTTAAAAATAAAGGAATAAAAGCTAAAAGTTAAAAAGATTCAATTTAAAATTAAGTGACAAGTGAAAGTGACGTGTGCAGTGTGAAAGAGTCAGTCACCCTCTTTTCTCTAGTGAGACCATTTGATTTTTGATTTTTTTTTTTACCAAAAACCAACCTTCTCAGTGTGACTCACTTTGTGATCTCCTCTTTCCCTAATGGCAACGTTTTTTAACATTGCACCATCGTTTACCAGTACGCGCAGCATCTCCAAGTACTTTGTGTGAAACTTCTCCCTACCTTCTCTTTTTTTTAATTTGACTTTATTTTATTTTTTTATTTTACTTTATTTTATTACTTGTGCACTGCTGTCTTGTTGTCTATTGTTACACTGTCTACTGTCACGCACCAACCGCCAAGACAAATTCCTTGTATGTTTGACATATTTTGGCAATAAATGTTTCCTGATTCCTGAAGACTCCACTATAACATCCATCCACCCATTGTCAAACCGCTTATCCTGCACACAGGGTCGTGGGGGGGCTGGAGTCCATCCCAGCCAACTTCGGGCGATAGACGGGATACATCCTGGACTGGTCGCCAGCCAATCGCAGGGCTACACAGAGACACAAACCATTCACACTCACATTCACACATCTACGGGCAATTTAGAGTCCCTAATTAACCTGATCCCCAGGACTTGGACTGTGGGAGGAAGCCGGAGTACCCGGAGAACATGCAGACTCCACACAGAAAGGCCACTGGGCGGAATCGAACCCAGGACCTTCTTGCTGTGAGGCGACAGTGCTAACCACCACGCCACCGTGCCGCCCGCTATAACATCCAATTCATTAAAAAAATGTATTGCGAAATGCATGATTTAGAAAAGTGATTCTGAAAAAAAACACACCAACATAGAGAGGGCAGAGTGTGTTTGAGGACTCACTGCGCTCATCAGGGAGTCGAGAACACTGACAGCAAAGGCGGTGCCGCAGGCGAAGGGCTGAGTGAGATACAGCTCCGTGTCTGGGTCGTCGTCATCGTCTTGGTCCAGGAACTGAACGTTTGAGTCGTTCACTGACAGAGGGGAGGGAGGGAGTTAGAGATGGGCACTGTGAAGAGGCACAAGCCAAACACGCAAAATCACCACCACACCAGACAGCTGGGGGAAAAAAATACGTCTGTTTATTTAACTTACATTTAAAAGCATTTGCATATGTCGTATTAATGTAACAGAAATGTCGTAGGTTCATGGGTCTCCAGGGTGGAAATATAATGTAACATATGATGCACATTATATTTCACTTTTACATTTCTGCACATATCTTCGAAAAAAGAGTTTCTAAACCTACAGCATTTTGGATATTAAATCTACAGTATAACACATGCAGGGTGCATTTAATATTTTAACACAAACTAGGACTCAAGGAGAATACATACTATATGATGTATGCACAGTGATAACCATTGTAGAAGTCTCAAATTCTGAATAAAGCCTACGTGGATCCTGCATAAGGCATTAGCACCTCAGTAGCCACTGTATCTTGATATATTGTAACACAAACAAACAGACACACTTTCAGTCAAGAGACAGTGACCAGTCTGTGGACGGCGTAGCCTGCTTAAAGAATACAATGGAGACTTTAACAATGGCTAATATGTCACTTTAGAAAAGCATGCACTCACATATTCATGCTATGTACTGTATGAGTTTTCCTTGATAAATGCGTTTGTCACATCATCACCGTCAGAGAAATACACAGCAAGTATTTATTTACCTTTGTCCTGAAAGTCAAATTAAATCCCAAAGACAACACACTTTTTTTCATGTCATGCTAAATAATACAACCTAAGTCAGCAAGATCAGCACGGCGTAAATGAAAATCAGCAGAAACTGAATAACCCATATTTTGTATGTCTCGGTGTGCAGGTGGGGAATAATACACAAAAGGCTCTATTAAAAAAATTATTATTTCTATTAAATAGAAAACGAGCATCAAAAAAGTTTTAGTTGGTTTTAGTCGGTAGCTTCATAGATATGAGCTGAAGGAGAAACAATGAAACTGGAAAATACATTTGAAAAACAGACACAGCTTAAAAGACTGTTTGATCTCAAGTTTTGTGTTTTCCAAATCAGATTTCTTCCCTGCTGCTGTGGAACAGAAACGTCAGTCAAAGAGACAAGAGGCTGATGCAAACAGGCCCGGGCCAAAAGGAGTGAATGGGGAAAGGGGGGAGGGGGGAGGGGGGGTGATGGGCAGGGTAGCCTTGCTATGAACACAGACACAAGGACAGACTGAGCATGATCAAAAGCCCAGCAATGCTCTGCAAATACAACTGGAGTGTGTGTGTGTGCGGGAGGGGGGGTAAGAGGGGCAGACCCAGAAAACAAAACAACAAAAAAAAAAACAAGACAGTCAATTTCAACCAGAACTGAGAATAAAAATGTGTTCAAAGTGAAGCCATGGGAGCAGCGAGGGCCTCTGACTGCAGCCAGATGAATCAAGACCAGCTGATGAGGAGCCGAGTGAACTGACGGCAGCGGAGGACAGAGGACCGGCTCACCCAGCTCCTTTATCATTTGTATGTTGGTTACATTTTTTTTTTTGTGTCCTGACACAGTGAAACCAATGGCAGTAGTTGGCCAGGTTTAGCTACTGGCGATGAGACGAAGACGAGGGGTGAAACTGTGTCAAAAGAGCTTCTAAGGCTACAATAAAAGCATTTTGCCGTCTGCGATATGTGTCCTTGAGCACCCTGGATTAAAGTGCAAATTAGAGCGCACAGTCGATACAAAGCCAGAGCTGTCACGCTGCCGCACCACTACAACAGAAATAAATCATTTCACGGTGACAGAGAGAGAAAGGGATAAACACAGACTTATCCATAAGCCCACTTACTGTACACGCTGTGCAAACAAAATTGATCATGCTACTCAATGTGTTACAACGAGCCTTTAATCTGCTCCTGGCACTGTAAACTGAACATATGACAATATCATTACAGTGTTTGGTCCCAGTCCAGACATGCAGCCACTCTCCCCATTGCACGTAACCCCGGAGCTTCTGGAGTGTGAGTCCAGGATGGCAACCAATAACTCCAACGTGGGTAGCCGTTAGTTTTGAGGATTACGCATGCAGTCGACGGTCTAATGGGAGAGCCTCTCTGCAGTGCAACGGTTGGCAATAACGGCCTTTTCCTAGCTGGCCTCATGCTCCATTGCTCCCTAATTGGGTCAGGGGAGACAGAGTAGCCAGTCTCTGGTGCTTTAGAAGGCCCCTCAGAGATCTGAAAGTTTCATGAGTCCCCAACCCCAGTGGGAATACATCCACTGCCATTGTTATTAATAAATGTACCCATCTTGCAACCAAGGCATTTTTTCCGCTCCACCTTTTCACTTTCTTCCCCTTTCTACCTCTCGCACCCTCTCCATCAGGCCATGTTTTGTGCATTTGTGGACAAAAGCAGGACATGTATGTATAGTTGTCAAAATGCCTGTCTAACATCTTCAAGTTGTCCAAACTGTCTCCTGAGCGATTATATTTTCCAGGCCGTGCGGCTAAAATGAACACAACTTGACAAAAGCAATCCAGATGTGATAATTCAAATGTGAATATAAACTTGAATCAGGAAAGGCTACCAGCACTGTGAAAGGGGGGAACAAATTCAACCCCACATTCCTCGAGTCTATTTGACCTTAAATGAGTTGGAATGTTTGGTAGCTGCATGATTTTTAAGCCTTGAATTATCAGCTTTACGTGTCTTATGTCTGCCAATGAGTAATGAGTTGATCAGAGCTTATTGGGTATGACGTGCAATACTGGCATTCCAGGTGCGTGTAAACGGCATTACCTAGTTCTGTGATGATGGGGATGTTGGAGCCGGTGGTGACAGAAGCCTGACGCACAAAGCCATGTACTGGACTGCTGTCTGGAGATGACCTGTCCATTCCGGGAGGCGTGAAACCTGAACAACAAAACAGATTCATGGAGATCAGCCAACAACATGACAGGGAGGCAATGACGGATTCTCAAAAACGGTAACTAATAGAGAGCACTGTGTTTACGATGGACGGAAATAAAGCTTGTAACGCAGTCTTTTGCCTTTTTATACCCGATAGAACCATAAATAATACCTAATAATGACAAATATTGCATTCAGAAAATGTGAGAAGAAAAATAAAGGAGAAACTGTGTTGTTTCGAATACAACGATTTACTGTAATTTAACAAAATAAATAGTATCATTTAAATTTTCAGGATTTAAACAAATGTATGTTTTGCTGTGTTGCTGTCATTTCTGCTCGTAATATTTAAATCAACTCAATATGACACATTATGATACTTCATTTTATTCAAGGTAAAGAAAAAAACAATCAAAAAGCTGAGACTAATAAGTGTGTTTAGTCCAGAGGTATCATGAGCATGTGTATGTGCACTGGAGCTGGCTATCAATACCATTATACATAGTGCGTTTCAGCTCACTCAGCATGTTGAGATGTGCCATTCAAATGTGTCGACTGACAAAAAAAAAAAAAAAAAAAAAAAGAGAGGAGGAGGAGAAGGCTAAGTGAACAAGGCGCCTGCCTGACGTTGCAGTACGGATACGGTGCTTTTAGGGGTCAGCTAAGACATATTTAGCATTCCCATCACTCCATCAAGGGACAGGCATAAATTTTAAATGTTGTTCATTTTGTCACAATAAAATCGGTGAAGTGGATCCTGAAAACCTTTTATGGGAAATGGCGCGGCTCAGGATCACGAAATACAAGTGCAAGTGACAGGAGGATGAATTCACATGACTTCACATTTTTGCATTTCCTCAAAGTGACAAGTAAACACCTTAAATCTGTGATGCTATATGCATAATGCATCAACTGTGTTTTGACATCCATCATTTAGTGCTGACTACAGCAAAATATCATTCTATAGTGCCACCACCAAGGAAACATAATGCAGGGAACATATTCAGGTCACAAAGTTTTAAATGGATTTCAAATTCACTACGTATTTCAAATTCACTACGTATGTGAGATTGTGTGTGCCTTTCCTGTCACAAAACCCAATGAGCTGCTTTGATTACAAAAGAGATCTCCCAGAGGAAAAAAAAAACACAAAACACTTTAGTACAAAGCAGGAAGCACACGCTGAACTGAAGCATGGATAATCATAACTCTTGTTATACCAATTATTGAACTTGGAAATGGTAGATGTTTGACACCCTGAGTCAACCAGGGAGTGTGAGCTCGCACAGTGAAACATCATTCTGTCCATGTCCTTAAAGGATGATGTTCACTCAACTGGAGAGTGACAGCGAATGTCTGGGTAAGGCCTCTAAAACACTGCTCTTATTGTATCATAGAGAACATGAAGACAGCAGAGAGCTCGAGAAGAATAGCTTCTGTTTTTGCAGCAGAGTGTACAGCAGAAAGTGACTGTTGGTGGGAACAGCAAAGTATGCTGAGCTGCCTTCAAAACCCGTCACAAAGAACTCAAAAGTTGCAATGTGAGCTCTGAAAAGAGAGCCGCGTGTCTTCCTGAGACAGATTACTGCAAAACCTGAAGACCTCGTTTGTCCAGTTTCCTGATCACATGTGTCTTCTAAAAATGTGTCTATGACAATATACCTAACTATACAATATTCCTGCATTGCTTTATGCAATTATTATTATTACATTATTGTTTTCTTGTAGTAGTTACATACTTTTAATGGAACATTTTGGAAGGTGGAGCACAAGTTTCTTTCTTGCCACTAACAGAGAAGCCAGAGTCTGAACAACATGCCTCATCGCACACGCCCTGTGTCTCCTCTTCTAGCAAGCTGCTGCTGTGAGGCTGTAACATTGTCTGTCCTGTGACTATGTACAATAGGCAAGTGAGATCTGGGTTACGTACCCCCTTTACCCCTGTAGCCCCCCGGGCACCGCTACGCTCTGTGGTTGACTAGATGCTACAGCAGCTGTGAGCGGCTCTCCCCCAGGAAGGCACGTGTTTACTTATTCATCAGCACCTTCTTGTATTAAATTCCACAGACAGTATCTGAATAAGAGCATCGGTCGGAGGACAAAATCCCCAAAGCAATACCTGTGATACAATATGCGATGTCTGCAGTACGTGCTTGTACTCATGCATGCATGATTGCATGTCACTGTGGTGTGCGTGTGTGTTTTCTAAAGTGAAGTATTTATCACTGAAATGGGTGGTTGATGTAATACCCAATTATTGATGACAATAGGCTCCATCCATCGACCCTGGGAGAGGATATAGACGAGGCTGTTTCCATATTGAGTTGGCTTTCTGTGAATACTGCTCCCCAGAGTGGTATGCTCCAAGATTTACCCCTGCTTATTGTTCCTTGGTGGCACTGCTATCGACAGCACATCACTCACTCGTGGCGGGAGAAATAACAGCATTGGCATTCTCCTAAAACACGCCGAAGTGCGCCGCACTAAAAAAAATAACGGCCTCTTGAACCTTCAACTTTGATTTGTATTTACAACAGTCACCGTGGTGGCATTAAAGAGTACAGAGCTCAAGGCGCATCAGGGCCTTTTTTTTGGCTCATCATAAACTGAGGATTACCTACGCGGATGTGCGCGGACAGACCGACCGCGTTGGCGCGGCTTGCCTGCTCGCGCACTACACAACCGCGCGGCGCACATGCATTCAAACACCAAGGTGCGTGCGTGCATATGCTGCTGTTTTGTTCTGACTAATGAGGAGCAGCTGAATTGGCCTGCCTGGTGATTTGTACTGGCTGCTTAATGATGATGAGGCCTGATGGGATGCCAGGTTCGTGTGTTTGTCTGCAAACATCAACAATCTGTTCCAGACGACGTGCCAGACACCAGATCAGGGGGAACAACGCCGAATGACACAGGCATGTTGATTACATCATTAAAAAGTATTATCAAAGCGGTTTAGCAGCATGTAATTACCAGGGACAACAGCAGAACCATCAGAAAACCTTGTGTAGTAAACACTCTTCAAAGGCCTGATGAGGCATTCACACACTTCAGTACAGTGAAGTCCGTCATAGTTACTAGTTACCGAAAACCCAACGGGGCTTCAATTGAGAGTACTTAGCAGACACCGTGCATGTCAGACTCATTCATCCCCGCAACAAAACCCGAGCCCGGCCCCTTTAGGGGGGAGGCGTACATGGAGAGCAATAGGACACTCCTTACCTTGGGAATTAGCCTGTAGGACCCCAATGCTGTCATCAAACTGCATTGATTTGATGTTGAGTGAGGCCAAGATGCATTCCTTATCCTGCAGTGAGGTATCTTCGATATTGTTCTGATTGGCTGACAGTATTACGCACATGTCGCAGAGGTTGATGTTGACAGCCCTTAAATCTGCCCGGCTTAATGGCGTACCCTTCAGGGCGAGGAGAACAGAGAGGAAGAAAGAAGGCAGAGGACAGACAGACATAGGGGAGAGAAAAACAAAAACAAAGAAGTGAGCAGAGTGGAGCTCTGGGAAATTGGTTAACAAGTATTCTTGTTTTGAGGCGATGACATTCCACTGATCTAACTGGGCATCGGAGAATCAGATACACAGACTTTCTAAAGGCTAGCCTTTGCTGAGGGCGGCGTTTGGGATTTCTCCTCTGATCATCAGTCAGGCCAGACGCAACAAGCTGTAAGGCCGCAAGCCGTGCCATCTGTGATGGGCACTGCAGCTGCAACACACACAAACTCCATTTTGGATGTGCAGGGTGTGTCACTGCTCTGGAAGGGAGGGGGGTGGGGGACTACGCTCTCATGGAGTGATCATTCACTTGAGTAATGTGTGATCAAATCAAACTGACAACCCCTCTCAGGATTCCGATGTCCGCGTAACTCAAAATGTCAACGGCGTGTTAGTCGAACAGAGGTCATCTGGGTTAAATGCGTCTTCTATGGCAGCGAACTGGTGACACTCACAGGTAAGATGGAGACTTTGGGGAAGTTGTGTAAAGTCTCCCACTCCCTCCGCAGGTAATCCAGCGAGCCCACAAACACAATAGGCTTAAGCTCGTGGTAATGGAAATTGCTGGCTCTCAAAGGCATCACCAGGTTTCGCAGCCCCACCAAAGCGGACGTGACATCCCCAAATATACAGACCACCACATGGCCGCTCAGTACCGTCATGGAGGCTTCGCTCCGGGTCTGCAGGGGACAGAGGGATAGAGGGAAGAGGGAGTAGAGCAGAGAGAGAGGGATCAGGAGGAGCGCAGGCAGATAAGGCGCAAAGACACTCGCAAAGACAAACGCGCAATCGCAGGGAGGAAGCGAGTGCCCCAGAAAAGTGGGGAATCGGTGAAGGTAAAACACTCGAGATTCAAACGCATTTAAAAGTCTTATAAACTGTTTTAAACCCGTGTTAAATAGTTTGTTAACCAAGTATTTGGTGAATTCTATATTTAATCATCATAAAAACTTAATTTACACAAGTATACAAGTTTGGTTAACCACTATTTAGTTTATAAACAGTTTATTGGATCACCAGAAATAGGAAGTGTACAGGACAAAAACATGTGGTCTTGTCTGAAAGGGCAGCGGATCATTTAGGCGGAAAAATGCAGTTTGTAAGACTTTGGGCACTTACTACTCGGACCTTGTAATGAGAGAGGTACAAATAAAAAAATATTCTCGAGTGGAAAAAGAACAACGCAATGTCCTTCTATTAAGATCTGTGGTCGGTCGCAGCACCTTGATGTGCATTTGATTTAAATAAACTAAACGCTACTATGATTCCAGCGGGTTTGAAACAAAAAGTGTATCTTTTTTAACCGGAGGAATACGGTCAAATTAAGAAAAACACAATTTCACGGCTGCAAATCTGCTCATTCTCTCAGCTAGCGATCTGTTGGATAAAGCATTTTTGATTATCCACATTTCTGGAGGTTTTCTGGTGACCCATCTCATGCTCATTAAATGTCTTCTGTGTTACATTTGATTTAGACAGGGTTAACCCTCCCCAAACAAATGTGCACTGACATAAATGCTTACAAACTGCCTTGTTAGAAAGTCTGAGCAAACTCATGCTTGCTGTCATGAAATACTCTTTACAGATCCTTGGCGGATATATGTAAAAAAAAAAAATCAATAAACTCACCTTGAAACAACAGAGAGGCAGTGAGAGAAATATCATTACACATTAGTATGTAATTGTGTTACCACAATGTTGAGGGGAAACTCCTGAGAATACTTACTTTAACGTTCTGTATTGCATATGTTAAATATGCATAATATTTTAGAGGTTTTGCAGTTGTTGTCCCACTCACCAGGATTACTTTCTCGATGTCCTTTGATGGGCACCAGTGAAACATCCCTGTCGAGTCATACCTCTTCACGCTCATGTCCATGCCCTCCATTTGGTCATTTCCGGGAATGACAAGTGGGTCGTGTCGACTTGGAAAAAAAAAAAAAAAAACAGACAAACTTATTTATGTTGCACCATTTTGTTACATGACTGCGGCTTTGTGAATGAAGTGGTAACGGGGAAAGAGGCAAAAGACCACCTGGGTTTCTTGAGATCTAGACTGTCTGTATATACACGCAACGTGTCAAAGACCCATCAGGAGCGTTTGACTTTCTGCTCCTCTGCATACTGTAGGTCCAACAACAATTCCTCTATTCCTTCTCGTCAATTCACCAGGAAACTCAAAGACCCGTGTGCTCACAGTGGTTCAGGGGGAACAGCGAGACTTGAGTGCTACTGACTCAATGGCGTAACAACACAGGGCCAATTACCAACTTTTACCCTCTCCTCCGGCTTCTGACTGAATAGTAAAAGCTCACAGGCTCTCACTTTAAATATTTCAGGAATTTGCCCAATCACATTTTGCTTATCCTACTGATGGCCATTAATGTTTCAACAGCATGTCACAACCAAACAGGCTAATCCAGAGCAGTGAGTTTTATCCAGCGCAACACTGACCATGAAAGGGCTGCTGTCAGTCCTATTACATCGCCTCTCTTCTTCTTGCGTTTATCCTGAAAGAAATGTTCTTACGGTTCCTCTAAAGGCAATCCATGAAATGTCATGAAAACCACAGAGTCAAGATAACCTGTAGAGCTGTAGACAAGTGTCATTTCTAAATGAGAACGGTTCTTTGCTTTGTAGCAATTCAAACGTAATTTATTTGCCACCCAAACTGAATAAGGAAATCATGGGTAATATGGGAGAAAACATCCCAAGAATCTGACATACATCTCTCTCACTATCACTCTCCCTCTACTCCATCAACACTGTCATTCAGTGACAAGGCTTTGATGTTGCCTCTTCCCTCCACCTCCATTTGCAGCTGCATACCTCTGCAGGAAAAGTTACACGGGAAAAAAAAGAGGGAAAAAGGCTGTCAATTAGTCTCTCTCTCTCTCTCCCCCTTTCTCTCTCTCTATCAGTTAGTGCAGGTGATAATAACACTGACAGCATTTAGTGTTTTTTTTGTTTTTTTTATACACTCAGCCTGAATCTTTCATCCGGAGCCTCGCGTTGCGCCAATCAACTCTACGGAGCCCCCGTCACTTCAATCTGCTCAGCCGCGCTCGCCTCCACACAGGGGCTGACTGGCGCATGCGGGCGGGCTGCCAGCGCCAGCTCGCTCTGCCAAGACAGCTATCTTTCACAGGCCTGTCAGCGGTGTGACTGGCAGCCTGTCACGGGCGCCACACACCTCCTCCCCCCTCCCCTCTGCCTTCTCCCTGCCTGGGGTTGAACCCACCCCAAGACTGAGGGGGAAGCAGACGTGACGTCTGTGCCACGGTGCCACGCCCCAGGGGAGATGGCGCTGCAGATGATGCGGTGACATCTTCTGCGGCAGGATGCGCGTCATCGGTCACGAGCCGTTAAAAAAAAAAAAAAAAGGCTTGTGGGAAATGGTGTTAATGCCGCAGCGGCAATGCGGCTAGTTAGCATGGCGGCGTGTCACACCGGCGACTGGGGCATTACCAAGGCGGCTGTTAGGTCCGCCAGGTAGTGTGAGTAAACGTTACCCACGATGCTACACAAATTATTACACACGTTTTCCCACCAAGAATATAATCACTACATTTAAAAATTTAGTAAATTCACAGTTCAGACCGCAAAACAAACACCCTCCCTGGGCAAGATATCGTATTTCTCTGATGGACTTTTATATAGGACAAATATTTCCCTTACAGCATGTCTCACACCAGTGTCTCACCCTCTCTCTTTCTTCCTCCCTCCCTCAGAATGCATTTCAAACAGAGTTGAGTTATTCCAGTGTTTCACTCTGCAGTCACAAACTGGGGATGGGCCCGCTCCCCCAATCCCTCTCTGACTACGAAAGGGAGCCGCTTGCTTTGAAAATTTTCCCCATCATGCAAACTGACAAAGGCGTGCTTTTCAAAAGCCCAGAGCCAATCTGTTGATCATTATTTATTTACAAAGGCCTTCAGGCTGCAAGTCCTGTAAAAACCATACTTGATACGTAGGCGCGCTCTCTCGCTGGCTCTACTATGTTTTCCCCCCTCCTTGATTGTAGAATAAAGCATCCCTAAGGCTACCTCAAACAGTCACTTTTCATTGTGCATAAAATCCACCTTGTAAGACTGTTTAATATAAATGCTGTTATATGTTGATGGGGGCAGCTGTGAAGGGGGGGGGGGGGGGCTGCAGACTGTGATGGGTAATTTGATGTTTTGCTGAGGGCTAAGACTGGGAAAAAAAATCTACACCTATAACAGAGGACCTGTCATCCCAGTACCCAAGAGCCAGCGGAATACAAAAGCACCCCTAAAGCACAGAAAACTTTGACACCGCTTTGAAGCGTTTTCAAAACTGAGTAAATAACTCGCAAGAATTATTATCACTGCGAGATCAAAGCAAAGATGCATATATTACACTGCAAACCATCTCCTAAGCAAAAAGGGAAGAGAAGAAAAGGTTTTGTGCGGCAAACTAAACAGCCTTTTAACAAAGCCGTTTGCTGGAAATGTGCCAACGTGTAGTTGGTGTTGTTGTAGCCGTTGCCTCCCTTTGAGCAAGGGCATCCAAAACGATGCTCCGCCGCAAACGCGACTGAAGGTTATGACTTTGTGTCGGGCTAATGGTTCGGCAAGTGTGAAAGATTATTAAGCGCTCGTTTTGCGCAGAACTGAGGGGGAGGCCGACAAGTATACTTGAGTTCAGAAGGAGGAACTGTGCCTGAGGGAAAGCGAGCAGGAGCAACATGCTAAGAACATTTTGTTGAATGTAAAGAAAATACATGAAAAAGCCAATTAATGATCAAAAAGGGTCAAATGTTTAAAGTTATAACAATCCATTTTATAATGGAAATAACCTTTTTTGCCAAAATTGCGTAAATAACAAGCTCTCTCTTCCGACTTTCCTACTGTAAAGTCAGCACTTGCGGTGATTACGAGTAGGGCAGCGTAGCCGGGAATGTACCTGTCCTGTTAGATCTTCCCCATCCCCCCTTTTTATCGTCCCCATCCGCACTCAGATGAGTGCACGAAGCTGCCCCTTTTATCTTTCAGAATCAATTAACAGCGTTTTAATTCCTCTGGACAGGATAAAAGGAAGGTAATATTTGAATTCATATTTGATTGTGATGATACATCTCACATATGGCCTTAAGTACCAGAAACAGGACTCACAGGGGTTCCCACAATGGAGGAGTAGCCTGAGGGCAAAGTAACCATGCAGGTCGCTCCGATTGGTTGCTGGTGTCATTAGTGCCAGCATTGTTTAAGGAGCACATGTGGACTAGAGCGGAGGAGGTGACAGCTGGGACTTTCAAGCCAGAGGAGTTTTCAAACGGCTCCTCACAGCTGCTTTCCTTGACAGAAATATTATTTCAGCTGCGTCATTAACAGCTGACAGCATGCCACCCTAAACAGCCACAGCCTAACCGGGCACTTCTCTTGTCTTTCTGCCTCCTTCTCCTGCCACCCCTAATTTGGCCCCCCCTCCCGTCCACCCGAGCTCCCATCATCACAGCATCAGCAGCATCCGCCTCTGAAGTGTCTCCAACAGGCATCCCTCCATCCCTTCCTCCCTGCCGCCATTCTTCCTCCGTTTCCGACTTCCTCTCACTTTGACACGCTGGAAGGAGAATGAAATCATCATCTCTTACCTCATCATTTTGGGAGAGCAGTTGGGCGAGTTTCGCATCCCTCCGTTGCGCTGCTTTTTTTTGGGCGAGACGGTGGATGGATGCTCGTCGTCAACTGCAAACACATGGAGCTCGTGTCAGAATGGAGACCAAAAAAAAAGTGTGCTGGACCTGACACGAGAAGAAATTATGGATCCAACATTGCAAACAAAAAACTGAACGGAAAAAAAAGGAAAATTAATCATTCAGTGTGAAATTGAGAATATTATGTAGGAAGTATTAGTGACGGTGAATCGTAAATAGGAGACAGTTTGAACAAAACACCACAAAAAAACAAAAAGGTTACAGAAGGCTCACATCCCAAAACTCCCACATTGACTCGTCTTTACGGGGTGCACTTTTTTACGGGGTCTTTGGTAATACACTAGTGCATCTGTTCAGTACACCTGCTAAAGTGTGCAGATGGTTGGACCTCCAGCTGTCTGCATCAGAGTGACCATGCTTACCTACGCAATGAATTGCCATGTGATGGGACCGCCGTTGGCCGTGGGGCACGGGCAAAAGCAATGACAATGAGATCAATTAAGGTTATGGAGATGGAGCTTGTGAGTGGGTAATGGGGTTTTTTTGTGTTTTTTTTAAACAAAACAATCGGAACCTCACCCCATCATTCCAGTTCCAACTAAAGCGCACAAAATTGCATTTGCGGTCTAACTCCATGCCAAAAGAACACTTAGCTGTCAACACACATCACTGAGGACAGGGCGCCAACGCGGCATAAATGATCGCACTGTGTGGATCAAAAAGGAGCTAATAAATAAACATCATCCTCCAGAAGGAGGTCAGGACTAGTCATAAAAGTTTCAATTAAAAATGTATTATTTATGTAAGATTAATAGTCCATTTTTTATTTGTGATGCTTTGGTTTTGAGCCGTCGCAGGACACTGATTCATAGCCACACTTTTTCTTCAGATTTCTTTTGATCAGATTCAAGTTCAGCTTCCTGTCAACTATACTTGGATGGGTTGAGGAATGCGGGTGTAGGGGGGGGGGGGGGTAACAATTTTAAAAACTTCGCTTGAGTCCCAGTCAGACAGAGAGGACGAGAAAGAGCAGCCAGATTGAGGCCAGGCCCGGCCGTCTGAAGATTTCAGGCAAGCTAACAGTGGTCTGATCTTCACTTTCTGTCTGTGAGTTTCAAGAGCCTTCAGACAGGCACCCAGATACTCTTATCCACTCTGCACTCTCCCCGACGCAAATGCCAAGTGCCCCGTCACTTCAAACCCGTGTTACTCCTTTGGTGAGAAATCAATAACACAGCATGATATTAGTGCAAATCAATGTGCCCGCTGAAAAGCCGGGACTATTCTAAGCATGCGGAAATTCATTATTGTCTGAGCTCCCGTCCGATGCTGTCACTTAATTCTGCTAATAAAAGATAAGAAATATGACCTTGCCTTCTAATAAAATGTCACTGTCTGACATTTCCCTTACGCAATTGGGCTTTTAGAATAGCTAATTTCACAACGACTACACAATTTTCTCTTTAATGCGCTTTTAAAATACCAAATCAAATATATGCATTCCTCGCCATAATCCTGGTTTGAACTTAATTTGTTAACAGTAAAAGTTCATAAAAATGAAACGTTTTCGAGCTACGCTTTTACATTTAAGAAACATTTTCTATTCGAGTTTGATTTCCTCAGAGCTCGCCACTAAAACTACATTTATATTACGGATACACATAAGTAGCTCTTTTATGACAATTCTAAACTCAACTGTTTTTCTAGCACTCCTCACTTTGCAATACCCCCCCAATTTGTGCAAAGCAGTAGCTCCAGCCGAGTGAACCGCCATGCAGCAAACAAAGCCAGGAAAAAAAGCAGCGGCACAGGCAAGGGTTACTGACTGATGCATCCCGCTGAGGGAATGGGGTGGGGGGGGGCAACCTACAGTGCCTACTGTGACTGAGCAGCGTGGCATTACTGGGGTGGTAGCGGTATTTCACCGGCAGGCTGCGGGCCCGGTTCAGCCGACCCTCTGCCTTGGATCTGGTGACCACGTCTCCTGGACCTGAGATACTGAGGCGCAGTTGTGAGGGGTGAGACCCAGACGCCGGCCCCGTGGGGGGAAGACTTCCTTTACGGTTATTAACAAGGGGGATGTTGAGCTTGCCCGGGTTGAACAGGGGGTCCTGGTCGGGGGGCAAGTTGTCGGGAAGGAGGAATGCATTTGTGGTGGAGGAGGAGGAGGAGTTGCAGCCGGTGGTTTTAACTGATCGGTTTTGAAAAGACGGTCTAACTTCAGCCATTACTGTCAAACAATGGAGAATAAAAGCGTGAGAAGTGTATTAATACTGGTGAATTAGTTGGTGATTAAATTCTAGAAAATTGTGTTATTTAATTTGTGACTATTGGTTTAGAATTATATTATTGTTTTATCAGATTTCAGGAAAAATTTAAAACGAAATCCATTTTTTTACTGGAGGATGTTAATTGGTTAATTGGTAAATAGGAAAGAGACTCATCAAGTTCAAATAGATATGAAAAAGAGTAATAATTAATTCAAATAATGTATGAAAACAAACATTTGTTTCTGTGAAAAATCTTCAGTGAAATTTCTGTGAAAAGTTCAGTTCTGAAAAAAAAAAACTTTTGCGATGAAAAATGGAATCATTGTTAAAACCTCATCCTTTCTTATCTACTTGGCACATGCTCTGACTAAAATGTTCACAGTGACATTCACTTTGCATTTGAGACGAACATGAATTAGTAAGAAGTCTCTGTTTTACTACTATGTTATACTTTCTGGTAGAACTAAATAGAGACACAGCTAAAGCCAGTCAAATTCAATCCGATATTGTGTCTTTTTCAAGCATGTTGAGCACTTTCAACAAACATAAGACCAGAACTAATAATTTAGAAAATTCATAATTCAAAAACGTATCATAGAACATTTACGAAGGACTCATTTTGTATTGTGTATTAAAAATGTAGCCCTATATTCTTAAGCATGGTGATTTCACCTTTAACAGTATGTCCATGTGACAACCTGCTATATTTAATACGAGAACAAATCACGCTCAACCAAACACGCACAAAATCTGAGTGGGGCTGCAGAGTCAACTCGTATGTTTGCATGTCTTAAAGCGCTTGTAAAGTTGAATGAAGAGGAGCCCTTGTTCGTCTCCCTTTTGGTGGAAGAGTGGTGGGTCGGTTGTTTGGAGGCGAGAGCATGCTTGGGTGGCCCCCGGGCGATAAACAGACGTTTATCCCAGCCGTCAGCTGCCTCCTTGATTTACGGGGCGCCACCGATAGCTCCTGGATTCATCTGGCCCTTGTCAAACACGTGCAGCGTTAGAGAGCGCTCACCCGCCCTGGCAGGTCCACTGTGCATCCTGAACAACGCAGACGGCAACTGTCCCTTCCTGAAATGCTAATCACATGACGGCACTGTCCTGCATGCGAGCCTTATCAGGTTGTCGTGACCCAACGTAAACTGGATGGTGAGGCAGAGGAATAACAAATACAAATGTTTACTTTCATATGTGAGCCAAGCCGGCTTCGCCTTTATAGTGTTTGCCGCATGAGCGAGCTTTGTTCTTCATCTGCATCGCGACTGCGTGAAAAGGCCTTCTATTCAATTCAGCTTTTTTATTTTCTTTTTTATTGTTTTTTTTTAACATATAACTAAATGTTATTCAAATCAGGACAGCTCCAGATCCATTTAGTTCTGCTTCGAGACAGTCACTATTTCAAAGAGGGAACAAAAAATGTCTTAAATATCAGTGTACCTAACAAATACATTGAATAAAAATGTACATACAAAACATTAGGAGGTGACAATTAGAAATTTTCTCAACCAGTAAAGAAAGTAATGCAATTAACAATTATTTAAGATTTACCTAAATTGCAATCAGCTTTGAACCGAACGCCAGCCTCTTTCTGACTTCCACTGTTCCCTGGTGTTGTAGCGCCATCTGCTGCTACATGCAGCACAATACAAAAACAATATTTTATGAAACTACAAGGTATTATCAAACAGAAATAAAATAGATGTTCAGTTACTACCAGTACCGGGAAGAAGTCTCCCAGCAACATAGGTTGAGTTATTAAACTTAAACTTAAAAGAATAAACACTGTGTCTGAGTTAAACATTAAATTCAATACTGTGAGTGTACTTTGTCTCGGTATAAGACATAAGACAACATCACTATAGTCTTAAGGAATATGGGACATCAAAGCATATACTAAAGCATAGCATTAGTACTTATTGTGTTACATGACATTGTGAGGGGTTTACAGTCTAAACACTGCAGGAGCACAATGGAGAAGGACAGAGAAACACACTTACGTGATCTGACATATCCATTATACTTATATTTGGCTGAGGAGAATGCAAAGACAAGTGGCAGGTCACACAGGGGGAGAGAGGATGTAATGAAACAGGCACATTAGGAAATAGAGACACCAACATAAGAGCGCGTGTGTGGAAATGAAATTAAATGCAAATACGATGAACTGCTAGCAGTTAGACCAAAAACGAAAAAGGTACAATTAATCAAAAAATATGGAAAAACCTTAATGGCCGGGATGATGCTGGCACAAACTAGGCAGACAGGTGAATGAAATGAGCTGTCTAATGTGAGATTGAGCCGTGCTTTTAGAAAGGAGCACTCAACCTGTAATGGGATGTAATGACAGACTAATTGTGTGTATTAAAAAAAATAAAACGCTAGATCTGAGGTTACACAGTTTCCGTCTTCTAACAAAGTAATGTTTCTAGTTTGAAAAACTCTTAGTACGCTTCAAGGTTTTTTGATTTGAATATGATGAGCATCGTGAGGTCTGTAGAACCAATGAAGCCACCACGGGGTGCGATGACAGCGACTACGTACTTTCACGCAGACGTCCAGAACACAGACAGCGGACGCTCGCTGCTGAAGACAGCCGCGGTAACAGAGCACAAATGCTGAGAGACTTGATCTTTACATGCAGTCCACGTCTCTTCAGTTAATGGAGAATTGGAAGAAAGGGAATTTTTTGAACACAGGTTCAATGCTTCACTTTGAAATTTCTTGGCTGGCACTCTAAAAAGAGTTGACCACTTACGCCAGAACCAGTAACGATCTGGGAGCTACAGTTCATGACCTGGACTGAGGAGGTACCTAAGACGGCTACCGATGGAAGCTCTAATATAGTGTGTGGCCATTTGAAATGAGCTCCGAGCTGCTGACACTCCCCACTCTTTCCCAGAGTCTCTTCCAGCAGTAAAGGTCACAGCGAGGGCCCAAGGCCGGGCCTGTGACACAGATCCTCAAACGGGGACCCACAGTGGCCCTGGCATCTGTCTCTAGCAATCTGCCCGCACCGCAGAGGCGGCAGACTAACTGCCTAGCATCTGTGGCGTAGCGGGGCAGCATGGGACAGAGGGTGGGGGGGGGGGGGGGGGGCGCGGGAGGGGGCGCGGGGGGAACTAGGGCCTGCCTGGTGGACAGGAGCTGTCAGGGCAAGTTTGGTGACAGACCAGCAGGGCTGGGAAAATGAAAATGCAAACATAATTTCCGTGTCATGACAGATAACGGCCCCAGCAATGAGATGCAGATGCACACACATGCAGAGACACGGAGATACGAGAGCATTGTGTTACACACACACACACAAGATGTGCACATGCACGCACACGGCCAAAATGTCCGTGGACGACCTGAAAGCATCTCCGGAGGCTCCGGGGTCTCCAACCCTTGTCCATAGCCCAGCTTGATAAAAGCGTTCAGCCTCTCCATTATATAAAAACTTTCACATGTCTAGATTTTCCCACTGAGGGAAACTGGCTGCCTGCGATAACGGTCTGGTCACAAAGAAGGACGACATGTTACTGGTATTAAGATCAGAATAATCACTCCCATTAATCTGGGAATATTTCAAAACTTTACTCAAACAATATATTATTATATATATACAATATAGTTGAAGACAAAAATACAATCACATGGAGGGAAACTCCACTTTGTATGTTGGACTATTTTATGTGACTATTCTAAACTGTTAGAAACCGCTTGCCTTTGCCTTACTTTGTTCAAATTTTCCATCTTATCATCTGCAAAAGATTCCACCAATAACTAAAAATGATGTCTCTTCTTATTATCAACCCAACAATTCATTGTCTGAAGAAACTGTAGGATTCATAAATGAAAGATCTCAGAATAATGCAATAACTTAGTCAGCTAAGTGGCTTATTACTTTTACAAAACATTACTCACTCAACCCTTAAGACTTAAAACAAATCGGCTATTAGGTGAATATTGAATCATTACAGACAATAAAGCAACACAGAAGCTTTTGTTTATGTGTTGCACTGCACATGTTTCATTAGCTGGTCCCAAATGTAACTCACATTAGAACAATGAAAGAATTCTATCCAAGAAATCAATTATCATAAGTACTCGGGGCTAGAAAAATCTGTTTCAGATGTACAAGGCCATGAAGTCACTGTGGATAAAGACGTCTTATTCTTTCGGTCTGCCGGGGAGAAACAAAACGGGGGGGAACGGAGAAAGGAAATCCGACAATCCCTGACTGACAAAGCCCGATGCAGTCCTTTAATAAACTCGCTTTAGAAATCCAAGACATGGGGAGGCTTTCCTGAAATCCTACAGAGGGGTTGAGGGAGAAGTGAGATCAGTAACCATGTAATGGCCAGTAATTGGTACCGAGGGATATCAGCGCAGGCCGACCTACAACGGGCCGAGCCAAACTCATCGTGGTGTGTTTGACACTAATCCAGGCTGAGTCGGCAGACGGTGGGAGAATGCTGAGGAGGAAATCGGAGCTGTGCGTCTGAACGCGCGGCTTTGATGGCCACATCTACTGATGCCGTGTGTAATTGACGGACAATTTAGTATTTCCTATCCACTCAAAAGGAAAATTGAAAAGAGGGTAATCTGCTCGGAGCTTTTGTCCTATAACCTTTGATTTATCAAGCAAACTATTAGTATTTTGTAGTTATCTTTTGGGGGAGGGGGGTTGTCTCCTTTTGCATTGTCTATTTCTTGTTCTTTCCTCCCATTTAAAGCCTCTTCTACCATTTTCACCTTAGCCTTGATTCTCAACCCTTCTGTTGGTGATGTAGACTGTTAAAAACTGCAGGACAGATAAACTGTCTAAGATCACTTCAAACAATTGGGATCAGAGGCTGAGCAGGACATTTGATACAATAAAATGTACCAACTGACAATTTCTGGGCAAAACAACAGTGTTAATTGTGGAAAGAATTGGATGTGTTCTTCCTGCTCTTATTCTTTTTCTAAGAGCCTAACAGAGTGAAAGGGCGTTTTGGGTGCTTGAGATATTATTAGTTGCATTCCTGAACTAGTGCCCCCAATGAAAATGTGTTTTCATATGAGTGCGCTGCACCTCATTTATAAAGCTCGTCAAAGCTGTTGGAAATCTTCAAAACACTGTTTCAGATGTGAATTTCTCTTATCTTCTCCAATAAAGTGAGACTAAAGACTTTGAACAGTTGATCGGATAAGTAAAAGGTAAAAAAATAAAATAAAAAAGTAACAGAAGCAAAGCTGCTTTAACTGAAAAATGTGCAAACTGAAAACAGTGTTTACAAGGACCTTCAAATGAAATATAGAAAAGACAAAAAACTAACAAACGCTACCAGTACATTACAGGATAAAACCGTGAGAATGAAATAACATGTTCCATTTTCTTACCTTTACAGTTCAAAACACATCAAATCCCATTGCAATACTATCACACAACTGCCTGACTGATGCAGCATGCGTTAGCCACATGTCTAACACCTACATTACTGTACAGTACAGCAGCACCACAGAGCCACACCACCAGTAACCCACCACATATATATCAGGAAATCCAACAAATAGTGTCAAATGAGAATTATGAACAAATGAAAAATACTGATGAAATTCAACTACAAATAACGCAAAATTAAAAAATTGTGTCAAAAATAAAATTAATAGAAAAAAATCATATACACAGATAGATAGATATAAAATTCATAATTGAAAACGTATTCACGACGCCACACACCAACTGTGGAGTCACAGTTAACGGATCACACCACATAGACGACATCACAGACACACGTGTACACGTACGGTACCTCTGCATGGTACAATAACACACGGAGCACACACCACAGACATCTAACAGCATGTGTTGGGCGGTGTAACTTACAGGCACGTAAAGTGGTTGCGCAATCATGAACAGAGACAGAGGAAAGTGGGTAGGCCCTCTGAAGGGTGTCCATGTTACTATGTACACTGCCTGACATGCAAGAGCAGTCTTGCTCTGAACAGCCGCAATCAAAACAACATGCCAGTTTCATTCGTTTGTAGACGGACATCCTGGCTACAGTCAGGTTTTGGGATGAGAGGAAAAGGAAAAGCAGCAAGTTAATGGCAAAAGGAGAAATATTCATCCAAAGGGAAGTCGGAAGGTAACTTCATCAGAAATTGCAAGCCTTAGTCACCTGCTCCCACTGACATCACGCCCCAAAATTACATTAACGCGCTCAAATTGGCGAGCTATATTTTTGAAATTTGAACAATTCCTCCAATTATTGTTATTTTCGGAAGAGTCAAAGTATGACCCATTCAAATACGATGATATTAACAATCACATTTCAGCATATTATTTTGCACTTCTGTTGGAGTGTGGAGAGGTCGAGCTGTGTGCTAAGGCTGTAACAGGTTTTAAAGGCAAAACTATAGCGGGGGGGCAGGGGGTGGGGAGGGTTGAGGAGAAAGGAAAAAGGAAGGGAAGCATTCGGGGAGAGAGAGGCATGAGCAATGTCTTCAGCAGCAACCTCATACAATGTTTCATACATTAGTACATCCTCTATGCGTTGGGCTAAAGGAGTGGATCACGTACCTGTATCCCAGCATGCAGCTGTAGCACCTCCAAGGCGTCACACTATTCTACTGGCTAGACGGGGCCACTCATGCTACGGTATATTCAAACCTGCAGTTTCACTGCTCCACTTCCCGAGGGAAGCTTTGCTCTAACGCATGCATGCATGCATAAAATGGGTGTATATGTTATCATCTGCGAGTCATTATTCTGTGATTCGTTATCAATACAAAATGGAGACTTGTAAAGGAAGAAATACCATAAGATCAGGTCACGGTGGCATTTGTTACAAATGACCCAAATGTAGGCCTGCATCCTCACTGATAATGTACGGTATATTCACAATAATAAATCCCAATGCTATAATGATTGTATCACAGACTTTACGAATTTACAAAACCGGTGCTCTCGTTTAGGTAAGACTGGATGTGAGAGTAGTATTACGTAACTAAAAACTCCATAAGTACTATTCAGTGTGTGTGTGTGTGTGTCCCTTGCTGTATGTGTGCGTGAAGCTCTGAACCCCGCGGGAAGCAGGAGTGAAAGCCCCCAGAGTTGCACATCTAGATTGCTGTGACTCTACGCAGAAACAGTCCCTGGTTCCCATTCTCTCATTGCCATGGTGCAAACAGACAGCAGGCTAATACTGTCTGGCACCTTTACATGGACACTTGCAGCATCTTTGACTCTGCGTCACATTGGAATTATAAGCCCCTGAATGGAGTGAAACGTGTTTCAGGTTCTGGCAGAGGACAGAATGGGAAAATCCGATCCTAACCCATGGGATGATGGCATCAGGGACTGGGGAATTATTTGGCATGCACATGTGCCTTATGAGAATGCATAAAACGTGGTTTTTGTTTTGGTCTTAGCAACGAGAGAAGCCACAGAGATAACTGTTCACAGCGTGGAAACAGTTTGAGGGTATGGTAGACAAGGTGCAGCGAAGCTATCACTTCATGCTGGAATTTCTTAACTTCAGAGTTTTTGCTTAAGGATTCAGACCACCGCACATGTCGTTGTTTCTTTTAAGTGTGAGTTATTGACATATGGATAACACAGGACACACAGACGCACACACAGACACACACACCGACAATGTTTTTGACATCTGACTTAACAAATGCCCAGATTCTGGCCTTGAATGATAAGGTTTCCATTTCAGGGCATTCCTAATAGGAGATTCAACATGACAGCTGCCCTGATAAACTATCTGCACGGGTTCAATCAGTCACCATCTCCCATAATCCACCAAGACACAACACACTCAAACAGAAGCTATCAGGGCACTATGTTGAATACAAAGGATGTCCTAAAGAAAGCACCATCCTGATATATCTGAATATGTATATATTTAACCTCTACAGACTTCACCATTTCAGTGTTGTTTTATTAGACATGAATCTGGCATGGCGTCGCCACCTAGTGGCAATCTAACATAATGGCATTTAACACTGTACTGCTGGTGGAGTAAATACAGTGCAGCAAGAAAGAAATACAAATTAAAAAAAGGGGGCCCAACGTCTGCCTGGATTTGAAATGCACAAGACTTGCGAGGTGACATTTCAACTCTGAGAGGAGGAACTGATAATCTCTGGAGCGTTCAGAGCAGGACGAGGACCCGAAGTTCTGAGGGGCTGAGATCACGGAGAAGTGGGGGAAACGGGAATACCAGATTGTTTTGATTGTGTTTTGGCAACCCCGGCTCGTTTGGATTTGCAGAACTTCCCTCAAGGACATTTTCTGCTTTCTGAAAGTGCAGCTGCACACTAAACCTCCTTTGACAGAAAGGAGATCAATTTAAACCTCAGTGGTTCTTGTTCATTTCCTTCCCCTCAGCTCTTCTAAATCTATGATTACTGTACGACATCCACGCTGTTTAGTACGTTCCTTCTGTACTTTCTTGGGGCACGACACTACAGGGGAGGCTAATCATCGATAATGGAATAAGACTGGCCGCGGATTGGCTTCCAAATGCCATATACGAGTTTGGTTCGGTGATCAAATATTCGGGGGGGGGAAACTGCGGATCTCATCTCAGCCACATCCGATTAATGTCAGACTTCATTTCATTTTCCAACCAATAAGAGCATCAGCTGACTGGGGCTATCGTGGGCAGGCCTGATGCTGTTGTAAGTTTTAATCCAGCTGGTTTTGGTTTTGGTCTGGTCTAAGCACAGTACAGTAGAAATGAGAGGCGAGGAGAAGGATGCAGAAGCTACACTGGTACATGCAACATAGATACAAAATACTATTAGCTGAAGAGGAAAAAACAATTACACCGCAATCTGGGTAATACAGCCATTTCTTTTTTTACTCACAATATATCACTACCAGTGAGTAGTTAAAATATGGTGGTGTTTTCCAATGGCAGCAGGGAAGGAAATACATCAAGAGAGCGTCATTGGTCGTAAAGCAACACGGGAAAAAACAACAGAAGAAAACAAAACATGATTGAACAGAACATTCTGTCAGAGAGACATCCCTGGCAGTAATGGAACCGCCATTTATCCGAGCGCAAACTCACTTGTTGGGTACGAAAACCATAAAACATAGCACCATCTCGATCACCTTTGTCTCAAACCGAAGTAAATTTGTCTAAATAAAACCAGGGTGTGAAATGTCTAATGATTCTATTGAAGTCTGAATAATTGAAATGAGACAGACAAAATAAGATGGTGGGTATCTTCTTGAAAACCGGGCTGCTTACTGTGATTGTCTGCGACCTTTTGTTGAAATATTGGAAATTCACCTGAATTATTTATCTAGTGGCTAACAAGTGACTACTGTGCATAGGTCCGGTTATAATCAGGTTAAAACTGTCTTAAAAATGTCTGCATTGTCTCTCTCATATTACTTTTTTTGTGCAGCTGTAAACTAATACAATTTCAGTGATATCTACACAATGTCTTTAAATATGCCATATACTGTATCCCTACATCTCCACTTGCAAAGATAAAGAAGAATACGCACTTAAACTTGACAGCGCCTACATTTCCTATGGGATCAGATATCGACTGATGATCATACCCTGGAAGTTCAAATGGCACCTACAATAAACTCTTTCCTCGGGGTACAGTGGTGTGACAACAAACAGTATTACCTATAAAAATCGCCGTGCCGTGGTACAGAGGACGTGACAGTATGATAAACGGTAAGTGTAATGAGACACGCGGGCCCACAGGAAGGGTTGTGGCTGAGAGGGAAGGAGGGAGGGGTGTCGACGGGGCGAAACAAATGGCCCGCCTACTCACGTCGCTTGCAGCCACACTTCTTGATCCGCTTAGGGTCCGTGATGTCGTCGTGACAAGCTTTGCAGTAGAAAAATGCTCTGAAAGTGACACGGTCACAGTGCTTAAAATGATCAAACTGCTCAAATGGAAATGATAAATAATCGGCCCTCCGTGTTACCTCTTAACTTCCTTGGCATCACTGGCGATAAAGAATCCCAGCGTTCCTTCCTGCATCTTGACGTGGTTGCCCGGGTTGATGAGGATGCTGGATTGTCAGAGACATAGACACATCATGCTCATTAACTCCTGGACGACACTCGGTTGAGGAACTCAACACGCTAATCAAGAGGAATGGTACACAGACTTGTTGAAGCTGTTGTTGTTGTGGGGGGTAATTTGCTAATTTGCTGATACTCGTATGCATGGACAGAATGTATAACACAATAATGGCAGATCGAATTTTAACTATTTATCGGTTTGCGTAGGTGAGAAGGGGGATAGAGAGGTTCAAGTTAAGGGGCAAGGGCAGAAAGAAGTTAAATTAGGGCTGGGTTTAAGTTTCAGTTCTCAAATACAGTCTTCTAGTAAAAACGGATGTTAAAAAGGCCACTGTGACTGCAGTAGCTGCAGTAGCGAGTTGTTACCTCTGTTAGTAATGAGAGCAGGACGAAAGGGAATGAATAGCTTGTTTTCCTGCTGATACAAAGCTGATTGCACTCTAGTGACTCTGATATAGTTTATAGGACTGAACAAAATCACTGGTGACTCTGACGACTCGAATTATAGGATGGAAATAGTTACAATGCATGTCCAGCAAGATCAATGTTGACTTAACATTGGATGAGTCATTCTTAAGTTAATTATATGTATATCTGAAGATACAAATATCGCTAAAAATAAATATTAACATATATATTATCACACTATTCTTATTTTGTGTGGGACTCAGTTGAATTACACGAGCACTTAAAGTGACTGGAAGTATCATTCCCCATTAATTAGACTGAGACAACGAGGTGACACAGCACACACACACACACACTGTACGCTCATACACACACACACACACACACACACAAACACCCACACTGGTCATTAATGGTTACCTGATGGCAACAATCATCAATGATGAGAGTGTGAACTAAGAAGTCAAAACACTTGACCCGCTAACCTTTAAGGTTTACACTCCTTCCAAATACATCAAGCCCAGATGAAAGATGATGAATTAGTGATCTTTTTTTATTTCATTTTCTCACATTTTAAACTAAAGGTTTTTCAATTTGTGACAAAAATACAAATTGGACAATAAAACTACCGTCAGTGATTAAAATATTTGTATTCTTAATAACTATTTTGTAACATTTAATTTAATTTATATTTAATTTAGATAAAGTACAATATCTGTGTAGATCCAGAAGTGAAGTAGTATATCTGAGAATATATCTTTTTTTTTTTTTTTTTACAAAATCTTTCCTCTGAGCTCTGAGAAAACAAACAAAAATATTAAGGGAGCAATTGAATCCATGTACAGGTCGGGCTGTGTTTAAATTGCACCAGTCATGCAGATTAGATTTTTCCCTCCACATTTTTCTTTTCAATACGCAAAATAGAAACAGTCCCTCAGATTAAATGGCCCCCAGTGAAGTAAACAGGTGTTGTGCCTGGCATGCTCTTTAGTGAAAATAAATTAAAAGAAACAGATCAAAGATCACAGTTGCACAAACATTGCTGCCCAAATCTGAGATTTTACAGGAGTATCTGTAACACATTTTTCTTCACTTAGCTGCAAACTGGTGAGTAGAAGCTTAAAAAGCGTCAAAACCTCATATTGTGAGCAACAAAGCAAGCATCGTACACCTTGTGTGATAGTGCCATTACATGCAGTCACAGTAGCATACGGCGTGAGGAGGACAACAGTCAAAGTGGAAGGCATGACCACTGCAGTACAGGTATAAGGACAGGTACGTAGATGCAGACGGTTGCAGTAACTTCTGTGCAGTTGGATTGTTTCGCCAACACCAAACTGACAGGAAGTGACCTCGCTAAGGAACATCTACTCGAGGGGGACGGATGAGCACGACTGAACACGGTGGACAATCCGCACGCTCATTCACACTCAAACGCTCAAGGTATCTACACATAAACCAGACGTACAGACATGCACAGATGGGTGTACATTTAACACTGAGAACATGAGGGGTGTGATTGAATGCAAAAGTGAAATGTGGGGCACTTGTGAATATTTTAGCCGAGGGTTATTATCTTTTAGTTTGGATCAACCCAATGCTATCCAAAATTCAACACTTTTTTTTTGCGGTGTAATGAGACCATGAAGAAAAATATATTGAATATTGGTGCATAATCAGTCCACGTATTTCAAGATGAAATCCATAATATAGAACAACATATTATCAGTGTTTATCAATACATCTGAGGTCTAACTCGTGACTGATTCTGAGTCAAGGTCAAAACCATGAAGCACAGATTAAAAAAAAAAAAATACCATGAGGGGAACCACTAGTTTGGCAAAGCAAACACACAGAACAGTAACAACTGGGAAACACTGAAAAAGAACTGAACGTGAGAGAAACTAAGCAACGGACAAAACTGAAAAGATCAAAAGGGAGGTAGAAATGGAGAGAGGGTGAGCGTTCGGCCTTGGCACAGCGACAACAGCAAAGACAAAGAAACAGCACTTCTCAAACATGTCCAATTTATCTACCCTGGCCCTGCCTGCAAAGAAGTTAGTGCGTTAAGCACAAGGGACACCATGAAAAAAAAAAATAGTTAGAAAAATAGGCCTGTGAGTTTGGAAAAATATCCTTGGGGAGTCAGAAGCTTTTAAGTGGTGGAGATTGGGTTGAGCTTTGGAAGTAAGATAAGGTAGAGGGCATACCGCTTTCGGCTTCTGTAAACAACAAGAAAACATCTCAAATCAAACAGTTGTCAATAGCTTAAAGGCATAATATGACTGGTTCTAATGCCTTCCTGCTAATTAGTACACCTCAAATAGGCAGCAAGAGACCCAACTGTGTACAGACACATTAACGTATTCATTTCATGCTCGTCCAAAGGTGACGTCCTTGCACCTAAAAGAAAAGGAAGGTTAACTGAAAATAATTCAGTTTGATTTTAAAGGTGGTTATTTCTTGACAGAGGTGCCAAACCAAATGAAAATTGTGGCAGTGCATCTTCTGGAATAGATCTGTGGTTTTAAGGGAAAGTATGCATGAAAATCCCTACAAACAGCTCACTAGCTCAAAAGAATTAAGACCATACACAGAAAGTGGTGCACTGGAACATATTTTTGTGATGGATTAAATATGTACACTTTGTGTTGACCATAATTAAACAGGAAACTCTTCCGGTACACACATTGGACGCAGCTGAATTGGGAAGGGTCCGTGAGATTTGGCAATTGAGTTTACTGAAAAATAGTAGTTCATGCTATTGGTGACAGAACACTGAGTTACTTGTTATCATACAGACCGAGCAGGGACACAAAATAATCGAGTTAAGGAAAAAAATGACATGAAATCTGAATGGTTGCCGGGTGTGAATGTCAATCTTTTAATTGACGGCACAATATAATCAACTTTGGACAAATAAAATGCCGTTACCTAAAGTAACTAATTTGAATTTTAACCAGATCTTTATTCTGCATACCTGCAAAGTAGTAGTAGTCAAAGGTATTCAACATGTATTTGGCACCACTGAGAACAGTCAGTATTATCAGTCATATTTATTTCTTTGCCAAGTATCATGAAATTCCAAAAAGTTGTCATCAGAATTGAATTACATTTTGAGCTAGCCATGAGCGAAGGGAATAAGGGATATTTTGGTGTAGATCCATGGTTTGTGACAATTGAAAGATGCTTTTAGGAATTTCTCATTTCTTATGTACCACGAAAAGTTTTGGCACGATGACTGTGCAGCTTTGGCAAAGGTGTGTGCTCTCTGAGTGCTTTCTCTCTGTTATATTATGTAATAATGTTTATATCAGAACGCTGTCATTCAAATTCCATTTACAAACTTAAATTTCTTTTTAATGTAATACAAGCACCAAGTGTTATTTAATCTACAAAGAGGATTTGGAAGGGGAATAATATTAAAAGATCCCCTGTGAAGCGAGCCACACAGTAGTTCCCTTTTAACATTGTCGTACCTTGACGCCAGGGGGACAAAGATGCAATGAACAAACCTGCTCTCTCTCTGCTCGGACTTGTACTCGATGGCAATAAGCAGCAGCTTGAGCTTCACGTAACACAGCCTGTAAAACACGTGCACTTATTAAAAAGGACAGCAGTGTACGAGCCAATGACTGACTGCTTCAAACACCCCTGAAATTCACATCTTGGGTTTCTTTCTTCAGAATCGTTGGCGATACCTACCACTAACCGTGGGCTTTGCTGAGCGAGGAAAGAGCGATACTTACTCACAGATAGTGGGGAAGGTGAGGCCGACAAAGGCACTGGATAAATACTCTGTGTACATCTCATTAGCCACCCCTTCTAGGTAATACTTCTGCCACGTGTCCTCCTCAATCTGACAAAAAAAACAAGCACGGAAATGTCACATGTGAGCTTAAGCAGAGAAATAAATAAAGCAATGTCTGTTTTGATTCAAATATAGGTCCAATGTGGTCTGCAGATGTTCTACCGAACAACATCAGCCCGGTCTGTTATAAGCTGACTCATCATCTTCATGACAGGAGTTCTTTAATCTAGAGAGGCACCTCTTCAATTTTGAGCCGCAGACACACTGAACAAAGTCCACATGAGCTCTCACAGTAACATATGACCTGTCGGTACAACCGATATCACTCTAATGGAAGTATTTCTCTGGACAAAGATGTCAACATTTCCCAGAGAATGTACCGTGTTTGATAGATCCGGTCCACTACTGTATCCGCTTATCCTAACCTCACCTTCTATCGCTGAATAAATCGCCTAATTAACAAAAATGCAATATGCGAATTCGTTCATCGCGATTCCTTCGGTCTGAGAGGGAGCGACTGAGACGAGGCAAGCGGAGCAAGTTGTCCTCTGTGTTACCTCGATGAAGGACCTCATAGAGAAGAGGTTGGCCAGCATGGTGGACAGGCCCTGAGCCAGACAGCTCTGGGCAATGAAGCCCGCCTTCAGCTCTGCCAGACAGATAGCATCGTCACCCTCCCTCCAGTTCCAGCTCGGAATGTTCAGCAGATGGGCCTTCATCACATGACAGGGAGAGGAGGTCACGAGAGATGTACAAATCCAAGCAGATGGTTCGCATTTCTTAACGAGGTAACATCATGCTTTTTTCTCTGGCCCGTACTGTTGTGGTTTGGGTTTTATATTCTCATGCTTTAAACCTGAAAAACGCCGCCCCTTTGCATGAAGCTGCAGTCTTCTGTCTGCAACACTTTGGAACCTGCCTCTTTTTTTACATCTTTTTTTCACCCAAAATGTTAAAACTTTTCCTTTAAGTAGGACATTTTGAAGATGTGGATAAGGTGGCATTTTCTTCACTCTTTAGAACACACGTAAAGGCGATTTGAAGTCTCTGTAGATACAGTTGGGTCTGAAGAAGAGCATTAGCTTGCAGACGTGCCGTTACATTGCACTGAAAGCAGCTACATGTTCGTCTATGTGACCTTTGCTTTCTTCAATGGGCGCAGCAACCACCAGCAAACGCTTTTGCATGAATTGTCATCTTTTTTTAAATCAATTCATGGAGTCAAGGGAGCGATTGGTCATGTTGCTACGAATTCCCAAATGGTGAAACAAAACCACTGATATGCAGCACAAATCAGACATTGTTGCTGGTTGTCTCCCGATAAACACCTTCAGTCTTGTGAGATAAAAATAGAGCATCAAGTGAGAGCAATCTTGTATCGCACAGGGCACCAGAACGTCATACCTTATTGTGGTACTGCAGCATTTGTGTGATTATTCTGATCTTGGGATGGTAGTTCTTGATCGAAATAACCCTTGAAGGACAAATAAATGGCACAATGTAAAACACAATCAATCTGTTTTTTCACAGATTTCGCAGAAGTCCAGGCGACGCAATACCTCATGATGTTGGAGGCATCTTCAGCATCAGGATCTGCACAGTATTTATTGGCTAGGATTAAGCAGGCATCTGCTGCCTCGATCTATGAGTAGAAACCAACAAAACAGGTGTGTAAACATTCTGGTTTGTTCTTAATGACGAGCATTGAGCATTGTTAAACCATTGGTAAAGGTTAAAAAAAAAACGATGTTCTAAATGTAATTCGCTTTCAATCCGTCCAATTCATTCTACACAACTTTATGTGATTTCATTTTGTCATTGAGGTGTCGCTGACTGTACCTTCACTCTGGCGAGGTCGTGAGGGTTGAGAACAGATCCCTGGTAGAACTCTACTTGGGTAAAATGGCGTTTGAACAAGGCTTCCAGCTCAAGATTAGGGGAAATACTAACACACAGGGAAAATAGTAGAGCAGTTAGCATCACTTATAAGTACACATACTGTAAATATATATATATATATATATATATATATATATATATATATATATATATGGCTGCCTGTGTATTGTTTTCCAGAATTGTGTTTTGCTACACGGGTGATGAAGGAAAAAAGAACTCACTTATGGAGAAAAACTATTTCAACATTGACATCATCCCTGTCCTTGTGTAGGAAGTCTTTGAGGAAGTTGGAGACACTTTCGAGGGTAATATGACCACAGACCACAATATGCCTGGAGGGGGGGGAAGAAATCATCTTGAGTGGGCAACATGAATCACTGCAGACACTGGCATGCCTCCCGCAGATAATCAGTCAAACCAAAGCACTCTCACATCTCAAATATAGACTAAAAAAAGCTATATACATGTCAAGAAATGCAGTTTCAAAGCAAACACGTAATTGAATTATAGCTTCTTTCTTCTTTTTTTTGCAATAAAAGTGAACATTTTCCCCCCCGTGTAATGAAAGTGGTTAAATTCTGCACAAGTGCAATCAAACACTCAACTCGGAACCACTCTGAACATCTAAGACCTAATCACACGCAGCCCACGCGGGTTGGACGGTCTTCCGTCCTCAACATTAAAAACCGTCCCTTCGGCCAAACCGCCCCTTTGTGAGCCGAATGCATGTTGACAAAGACGTGTACATCAATGTGCTTGTGCTTTTGTACAGAACATTACTGAAAACGTTCAAAGTGATTTGGAGGCCTGTGGTTGACACAAATTCTAAACAGGACCTGGGGAGTATTTGACGGGTGTGCTGGCGAGGCGTGTGGCGCATTACGGCAGCGCATTCGTTTGTCCTCGGACTTCCACCGTGCGCCACAGCGGCCGAGTTCATAGATCTAGCTTCACATTTATATCCCTGAGAGGAGAGTCATTTGGGCAGTTTGGATGCTCACTTTTATACATGTATTAAATTCAAACTTTAAATCCTTTAACTTTGATCTCGCTATTTGTTAAAATGATTGAATAAAATAGGGAGCATTGTTATCAAAAATGGTTGAAATTTTACCAGGATATGGTAATAATCACGAGTTTAATCATGCTAATCTGCTGGATTTAGGACATTTTGATGCTTAATTTGCACTGTAGTAAGGTGAGCTACCCTTTTGGAATTAACGTTAAATGTCACCCAGTCTTGTTGCCAAACCCCTAAATGAGAAATCCAAACATGCTGCGTAGAATTCAGCCCTTATATCACCGTGGATTAGTGTGGACATTAGGCAGACCCCATAATTACCTCATGGAGCCCTGAAAGGCACTCCGTGTAATGACAATGGCCTTATCCACTACTTAGCAGGATGTGCCAGGAGACAAATGAACCACTTTAGTTTTGAGTGCCTGGATACTGGCCAGCTTTGCATTGAACACTATGAGTATTAAGTTACTTTCCTCAAATACAAATAGAACACTGTGGTCATATTTGTTCACTGTTCGAGTTCTTACAATCAAACCAGATTGGTCTGAATACATTTTCATATCCTTGAACACAATTTAAAACATTTAACATTACAACGTTGATGTCTAAAATCATAGAATATTACTGAAATATGACAAAGTTTGGCAGGTTTAAAGGAAACAGATACTTATTATTAATGTTAGACGAGAACCATGACCCGGATCACTAAATGTCCTCCTGCTCTCTACCAGATGGTCCGGTAGGACTGAATTGAAGTGGACTTGGCGAAGCAATGTGACAGACACATTGAAAGACTGGCAGCGTGTGGACGTTTCAGGACGTAATGGTCTCTGCAGATGTCGCCTCTGTCCTTTAAGAGAATCTAATGAGCAGCCGTGACGGCACAGTTGGCCGGAGTGGAGCAAAAAGGGCCGTGTGGTCTTACAAGCTGATGAGCTGAGATGTCTGTGGGCAGCCGGCGGTATTTGGCACAAGACGTCTCTCATTTCTCAAGAAATGAAAAACATCGGTCATGTTTTTCAATTGCCAGTATCCAGATGCCCTTCAACAAGGGTAGAGGGAATATACGGATTTATATGGCGTATTGTTCAGTTTGTGTGGGTAAAGCGTTAGCTTGTTAATCTCTCTCTCCCTCTCTCCCACACGAACACACACAAAGTGTTGTAGTTGATTTATTAGCAATGCTAAACTTTCCTCACTTATTTAGCTTTTATGCATCTCTGTAATTAAAGTTGGCGTGCTTCTTGCGGGTGGCATCAAATTGAATACTGAGGTCTTTGGCTAGTTCAATAGGATTTAAGCAACGGATAGTTTATATATAATTGCTTCATAAACACCTCCACTCTGGTTAACCAGATTAAACTGTACAGTTGGACATAAAAATCGGCAGATCTTTTTTTTTTTTTTTTTTTTTAACAGGAGAACCAAACAACGCAGAAAACTAAAACAAAAGCGGGAACACTATCACATTCAATACAAAGGGGTGTTACAGAGCGTGCACACAAAACATGCAGTCAGAGAGCATCTCAAGATGTCAGTGGGGATGCAACAAAATGAACAAACAGAGCTCAAACATCAGCAACAGAGGTCACTCACTTGGTACTGCTCTAATCCTTATGGGTCAGTGACAAAAGCTACTGCCAGAATCTAAATGTTCCAATTTAGACCGCTTGAATTAAAAGGAAATCTTGTGTAATCAATAGCAAGATTTGTGAAGGTAAATAGTTCATAATGCACTTTGTATTAAAAGTGGAAGAGCGTGCAGACTTTCAGCTGCACGCCTTTACAGAGGGACTTTCAAAGGTGTATTCCACAGATCAGCAAAAGCTGAAGCCGGTTTCCATGCCAACCCCTCCGATAAAGAAACCACAGAGGCCATAATGGAAACTACAGAGTCCCGACTGCACTTGGCGCCAACAGTTGCAACACTTGTCATTGTTATATCAGCATACGCGGGCTGAGTGCTGTCACTGTGCTCATGGGCGTATGCTGCGCTGCACAGCGCTCTAAAAGCAACACCGGCATAAAACAGAAATTTAGTCCAGATCCAATGTGAGTCCCTCTCACTTCCAAACAACCTTCAAGGCATTTTTTTTTTTTCAAATGACAGCAGCCGGGCAGCGAGATGAAGTAAGGGATGCATTTAAAAGAGTTCACGATGCATCATGATCTCATTGTTTGTGAGCTTTGTAATCAGTCAGACACTTGTAATCTCCTAATCTCATTTCCGTGATGGACCTTTCTTCTTCTGCTGACAGCTGCTAAATAACTGAATCCCAACGGCAAACCTTAACCCACATGGCAAAGTGTTTGTATCCATGTGTCAGGTCCAATACATGTAAACTCCACGCAAATACCAATCCAAACGATCATAGGTGCCACGCTAAGCCTGTGTGTTTGGTGGGTATCTTCTGATTGTTACCATATGTCTGCACTGTATGCACCAGAGAGTAAAGGAGGGGGGGGGGGGGTGCGGAAAGAGAAAATAAAGTGTGTGGGAGAAACTGTCCTCAGCTTTGACAAGGGCTTTTCTCAACACACATGTGTGAGTCTGGCCTGAGGTCACTAGCCAAATATAACATTTCATCAATCTTATCTCAATGACAGGCAAACATTATCAAACAAAAGCTTTTTTTTTTTTTCCACTACTGCTGACTCGCTAGAATCCGCCTCGCTGAAAAGAATTGCTGAAAAAGAGTGGGATTGGAAGAAAGAAAAAAGAAAGAGAGAGAAAAAGAGAGGACTGCAAAGTAGTAGATGTTGAGAGCCGAAGCAGAGAATGAGAAGAACGAAGAAGAAGGGGAAATAAATCTACCGACCCTGTTCTAGACACACTACATATGAATTAAAATGGATCTGTGCTGAATATCAGTTAGGTTTGAGCCACGAAGGAGGTGGGGGGGGGGGACAGCATAGTTACTGTGGTAAAATGACCACAGTGCCACACATACTTCACAGTGCACTGTGAGAGGCCCATTTACAATAGCGAGAACCAAGCAGGAAAAAAAACAAGCCAAGAGCTTTTGAGAGCCTCCAGTGGGAGCGAGGCATCCAGCATTCAGGGTGTGGGAGCTGACTGAAGATCAGGGCCGGATGATGCGATGGGTTTGCGTTGACTTTTTCATGTAGTTCGCAATTAATGAAAAAGCTTCACGACTGCAGGTCATAGAGAACATGCCAGAAATTATGCGGTGAAGAAAAAAAAAAGAAACAATTCCACAAAACGTGCAAAAAAAAAAAAAAAAAAAAAAGAACTCAAGCTGCATGAGACAAGAAAAGAAAGTATATTTTGCAAAGGTCATTGGAATTGATGATGCTTAAAAAGACCACCAACAATAATGCACTTGCAGATGTATATCTTTCTATTTTCTTGTGGGAAATAATCCATTGGAGGAGTATAGTAGGGATTTCATGACTATTGTCTTTCATTTCTGACTATTTAGGACTTAAAGACATTCACAAAGACTAGTTCCCCCCCGACAGGCAGTATTAGACAATATGATTTAGGGCCAAATGACAAATGGACGATACAAAGTGCACAGATATATTGCAAAAAGCACGACATGTTAGTGTTGAAGTCATGAAAGCTCCTTTTTTCAAAATGAAATTAAAGCGCAACACAAGATGTTTCCAAGAGGAGAAGTAAATCAAATGAACATCACACAAATGACTGAAGGACAGATAGAGACAGCAGAAAAGAGAGAGTAAAAGGGCATGGACATGTGTGTCCTAATGGCCAAGGTCTCCAGTCACGCCGTGTGACGTGATGGCATGAGGTAACTTTATTGTTCTAAAAGGAGTCAAGTTAACTAACCCCAAGTAACTATGAACTCCATGGGGGCGCACTTGAGTCACACAACCACACCTTGTCTGGATTTCAACTTACTTTCTGCCTTGTGTCGAGTTATAACTCCCTCCGTATTTCTTCCGATTAAGGATGAGAGCAGCAATTTCTGGCACGTAGCGAGCAAACATGGCCTACATGCATGGAACAGAAAAAAGAAAAAGGCATGCAGAGAGGGTTCTACCGCACACAGAAAAACAGCAGAACCATCTGGAATACTTACTTTCTCCCATTAACCGCACTATAGGAACCACCATATTTCTTTCGGTTTCCTATTAACTCTATGATTTCAGGGACGTAGCTGGCAAACATGGCCTAAGGAGAAGATAGAAGACAGAAGAAGAAACTAAAAAAAGAGACGACTACGCCGCAGCAGGGTGGTGAAGAAACTGGAGCATGAATCCAGATTTCTAAGGGGGGAAATATTTGCAATTTAAATCAAGTTAAAAACTTTGTAAATTGAGCAAGATCTTCAAAAACCAAAAAAAGTTTTGTTTTTGCTGTAAAAAAAAGAAATTAAAAAATAGCCCCCGATTTTTAAAGGTAAGTGTTTAGGAATGGGTTTGTTGATTGGGCAATTATTTTGTCACAGCTGACGAGTAGTCAGTTTGTGATAACACCCAATACCTTTCTGGATGGCAGACTTTTGAAAGGAGAATAAAAACCTATGTGCCATGTTTTGTCCAACAAACACAGATGATTTGGCAGGTTGATTTGAATAGGCCTACCTGATGGTCCACAGCTGCAAAACACATTAAGACTCATTTGTTGGGCTGGAAAATGAGCTGGATGCATTTTGCAAGGTTTCACAGCCTGTTGTACTAGTGCAGGGTTGTGTTTAAATGAACCGATGACCAGCTGGCAATCACTGACACAACTCATCCAGGCTAACATCTAACATAAGACACAAAGAGGTGCCCTCATCCTTCATAAACACATACTCAACTCCTACTTGGAAACTGCACCGATCATCCATCAGATGGAGTAATGTGGAATGATGTGAGTTTAATATGATCCCTGGCTTTAAAATATCTCAAGCATGAAGTCATTATTCAGCCGCTGCTGGAAGCCGGCTGAGGTACTGGCCTAAAGAAAACCTCATAACCTATCACCATGGCCACAACAAGGTACACATCCACACAGCTGCAGGTCATCAGTCCACAGTGATCGCTGGCCAAATAAATACCGATCACGGGGACTGTGATTTGGCTAAAGCCTCCACTTCTTTGGGAGACAAGTCGGAGGAGGCGGCGGCGTCTTCAGCGCGCGTGTGAGCGCTCACGGGTGTCAACAACCACGACCGCCTGTGCTTAAGTTAGTCTACAAAGCGTGACCAATCAGGATGCGAGATCAGAGGGAGGTGAGCAGGACGGGATAGGGAGGGAGCTGTTGCTATGGTAACAGTCAGGCCGGCCTAAGCCTGATCTCTCTGCCCCTGTGTTTGTTGGAATTGTGGGAAAAAGACACGGGAGGAGGGGATGTCCTGAAACCGAAACTGCTTTTAAGAGAACAGTAACATTATTATCAGAGAGAATCTTATCAATTAAATACAGGTAAGGGGAAGAGACGAAGGAGCACATAGTACTGTAACAGCAGGATAAAATAAAATGGGACAAGCAACATAGTTCTATTATTTTTAAAACAGCACAATGCTAAAATATATAATATACAAAATCATTTTAGTTCCTTTTTCGTTAATGTATAATGTTCAGTTTTATACAGTCTATTGATGGGGACAGGCAGGATTAAGGAGGGGAAAAGGGGAGCAGGGGAGAAAAGAAAAGCCTGATTTTACCAAACCACCAAGGATGAAGAAGACCATAAACAGGCGCCCCAAGGTGGTTTTTGCATAGACATCCCCGTAGCCCACTGTAGACATCGTCACCATCAGCAAGTAGACACATTCCCAATAGGAAAGGGACTGAGAATTCTGGAAGTTTTCCCAAGGATCCCCTGAGTTTTCCACCTAGAAGGTCGATAGGAGACGACGCAAAATTTATTAGAGACCACTTGTAAGAATTTCCTAAAATAGGTTGAACACACCCGTCTGTTGATAAAGACAACGCTTGAAAAGACAACCCGTTTGATCAAGTTTGATTAAATCCAGCTACAAGTGCATCATCTTTCATAAAGTCATAAAGTTTATTCTTTGTTTACTGTATGAGACTACCATCTAGTGGTAAAAACGTTTGATGCTTTATGAGTTGTTGGTCAGAGCTGCAAATGTGCAATGAATACTATACAGACAAAATCCAGTGTACACTTAATAATAATCACTTTTTTTCCTCAAAGCAAGGAGGCATACAATAATAGTGTCAAAAATTGCCACTAACTTTACATTTATATTTTATTAAATAAAATAGATAAATGACCATGACAAACAAAAATCACCAACGTGAGTTGAACATAATTCTTTAATACTTGCCTTCGATCGGCATCAGGACAAATATACTGTATATACTTATTATTATTATTATTGTAGGTTATTAGGCCGATTGGTGCTTACCACAATAAAAACACTCTTCACCAATGCCACTGTGCATTCTGTTATTGTGAACAGTTTATTCAGTTTATTTATTTTGCTATCTAGAGCACTTCTCCCCAATGGAAAAAAGTACCCAAAGTACTGTTGGGGGACTCATTGATGACTACTGGTCCTCACGTCTGTCCACTCACCAAATGTATGAATCCAGCTGCTGTGAGCCATGTGCTTATGAAGATGGAACAAAGGTTCACCAGCTTGATGGAGTTACTGCGATGAAGAAGAGGAGGAACCATAACTCTCAAAGATGTTAGACAATAATGACAGAAAGACGTGTTAGCTAATTAAAGTCTCACTAGCAATAAACAACAGCCAGGGAAATTGAACAGGGGTTTTAATAGTATATCGGCATATAAATAAACAAAAAAATAAACCGAATGAGGTACAGAATAGGAATAAAAGCTTGGTAGTAAGATATTATTCTATGCATATAAGATTCTGGTTGATGAAAGAAGAAAGCTTTATTCTTACCTTGTTTTCAAGATATTCAAAAACTGTAGAATTTCTGAAAACTGTATCAATCTTAGTGCTCTGAGAAATCTTAAGCCTGTGAGACAGAGACAGAAATGCATAGATTAGTATAGAAGTGCATGACGAACAACTGGTGGCATTCACATATAATCATATAAGTTGGATGTTTTCTAAAATGTATTTACAGTAGGACCACAGAGGAATAACAGTGGCAGATATTGAGACAACAGGCAACATGCATGAGCAATCCGATATTATAGTTCATTTGTCTTTATTTTCCTTTTGGCACCGCACCTATAATTCAAAAGAAATTACGCAACACACCAGGGGATGAGCTATAAAAAAAAACTTGCACACTTTATTCTAGGTGATGTGTTGAAATTATTTATGCATTCAAAGAAGTTAAGAGCAACATCGTGTGGCCTACTTTACATGAGTTCAGTGTGCATCCAAAAGCCCCTAGTTTAGGGATTAGAGAACAAAGCGACACCTGCCTCATTGGCTTTTTACATAACACAACCGATCCAATGGAACGTGTGTGTGTGTGTGTGTGTGTGTGTGTGTATACACGCGCATGTGTCTATACACACATCCCAAACAATCAGTTCGGTAATTGAAAATGTGGCACAGTGATGGCAAACATGTTTTAAAGACCAACAAAGTAAAGTAAGAGAATACATTTCAAAAGTATGCATAAACAAGAATACTCTTCCAGATGACACGTGTCTCTCTACATTTGCACCAACGGCCTCACCCCAGGTGGAGAGGATGCGCAAACAAGACCACATTGAACAAAACCGTCCCGTCTGCCTTCCGCTTTGCGCCCCTCCACCTCACCCTGTACCCATTATGAAAGAGATCGCCACGGGACTTCTTCCGCCTCCGCGTCTGTGGGACGGGCTTCGCACCGGCATCACCGGGGGCATGTCGATAGACGAGCAGCTTCGAAGGAATCATTGATCCCATGCAAAGTTAGAGGCAAGACTGCCATTAAAAATTGCTCATCTAAAAATGTTTTGGGCCAAGAATTTTAAAAGCAACTTCAAAAAATTAAAAGGAGTAAATAGACGGTTAGAATTGTGTAGTTTGTTGTATCACATCCGCCTGGTGGGACAGTGATGACTCAGTGAGAAAAGTGTCCGCTTTAATATAGGATTTTCTTCTTTTTTTTTCATTCTAGTTACAATGTTAATCCTCGGCACCCAAACAGACTTCCCATGCCCCTTCAACGGCTTTAGAGAGAACTCCTTTCAAGCTTTTCTCTCCTTCGACACACAGGTTCAACATTTTATTTAAAAAAAGGTCTGAATCCTGCCAGGGATTTAGCAGAGATGAAGATACATTGAAAATGCTGCAGAAGAATAACAGTAATCCTGTTGACGCATATAAAAGCTCAAAACACGCCGTGGTAATTTGATAATAGTTATTGACCGAGGTCATTTCACATTTACATTACAGTTAAATCAGATCTGGGCACCATTCTTCAATAATTAGGTACGAATTCAAAAGGTCTCCTTCAATACTTATGGAATGTCTTTTAGCATACACTACATTAGGCGCACAGTACTGTACTGTTTATTCTCATGTATAGTGTATTTGCTGACTCATATTTTATAGCAACAGGTTTTAGGTGGACCTTCTGTTGTCGTTTTAATGTACATCAAGTTTTCTTATCTCTGTTCATTTAGTATGTATGTTTACTAGATTGACATGGATATTTTGTGTTGAAAATAAGTAGAGAAATCACTAATAAATAGTGAAAATTATTTAGATTGAAAAGTAACATCCAAAATTGTGTTGCGAATTTTGTATTTGATGGTAAAATATTAGATATTTTAACCAGAATGTCCAGTGATAAAAAGATGGAGCCAGCTTGGGGCTTCATTTTTCTCAATCAGTGTGAAGCATCTGTGTTTGTGTTATACTGTCCATCTGTGTTTGTGTTAGTGTGAATCTGTGTCTGCGTGTGCGCGTGTGCTGTATTCATAACTTTGTGGGGCAAAGATGTGTGTTGGAGACTTTCCTCCAAACCAGGAAAAAAAAACATGGTCCCACAACTTATGCATTATTTGTGTCCTCACACCAAAAGATATCTTTTCCAAACATGGCAAAAGCCTCTTGCCGGATGCTCATGAAAAGAAATCAGTTTTGGTCTTTGGCCACTATTCATTCATTACTTCATTCATTCATTCATTCATTCATTCATTCCTTCTTGAGGATTCGCAACCAAGAGTTCTGCCTATCGGGATATTTTATCAATCACCAGTCTGGGATAGGACATCGGAATACTTTCATACTGACGGTGAACAACGCCGTGAACTAGATGCTACGACGCTATGCGGCGCTAACACCTACACACTTGCACACACGTTGCTAGTGTAGCACTGGCTCCTATTGGTGAGTCATGCTGGATAGACCACCCGTGCATATGACATTCAACACCAGCATCACATTTCTTCCCATCTTATAATCCAACTAATGCATCTACAATAATGCAACGTGCAATAGCATGACAAGCGTTGAGCAGAGCTGCAGCAAAGAGTCTTAAACGTAAACAAGAATTAGCCAACGACTGAGGGCCACACCAGGCTGATGCACTACGCTGAGTGATCATGAAACAGTATACTGAAGCATCACTAGGAGGCAGTAGCAGTCAAGCTTTAAAGAATGAAAGCAGTACCTTAAGGCCGCTACCGTAATGTAAATTCATGAAGCCAACCCCAACGTTTAGATTACAATAAATTACATGGTGACTTTATGGTAAAATCATTTTGTAATCCACAGTGACTGATATGAGATGTTTCCTCCTCTGTTGGTAGCCAAAAAATATTTACAGCCAGCATTGGTGTTACTGGGTTTTGGTCGTTTTTCATCATCTAGGGAGGAGAGTGTGAAGCTAACTAGCAGGGTGTGAGACATACGGATCGGTAGCTAGATGAACTACAAGCATCTTTTGGACCACCGTGTGTTAATCCGTCACTGCTCTCAGTGCTGCTCAGTTCAAGTACTTAAAGGAGATTAATTATCCTTTCCAATGAAGAACTCTGAATGCCCTCTTACATTAGCCGCACGTCGCTGTACTGCTCTTAATCAATGTCCAGTTTACATTGGTAGGAAGAACAGAACTTTAAGTGCACGGAGCATATACTGGCTCTGGAGGAGAGTGGGTGGACGCTCAGCCACACCGCACAGGGCAGAACCCCTATTAGTGATCTTTTTATTATACAGCTCCACTGGCTGTCTTCTCATGCAGGACCACAGCTGACGGTGAAGCAAAGGTAGCATGATTGAGATGTATTACACCGGCTGCAGTGTTTATTCTGCTACAAATCCACTGTGATGAGGAGCAAGGTACACGCTCTTAACCACCCCGGTGTCCTCTAACAAAGCCTGTTAAACAACAGGATAAAACACCGGGATATATTAAAGTCATCAAGCTTGAGGTGTTCAATAGGGCTAAATAATTTTTAGGGTGATGATAAGGTAATTAATGACCAAAAGGTTACCAAAGGAGGCAGCACCAGCAATACGCTGCAATTTTTGACATTCTCTTACAATATCAACTTATAAATTGTGCTAGTTTTCCTGTCACAACATGGTACTGCGTGTCGTAATTCCATAATAATATAGGATAGAAGGAGCTGATCACGGTTCCATACCCAACTCGTAAGAGCCCAAATATTAACTGTCACTTTCAGCATCACATTAGTATTCTGGAAGCTATCAGGAGCCCGTTGAGTTGCACCATTTCAAAGTGCAGACACACACTGTTCATTTAGAGCTGAGGGTTTGCATCGCCGTATGCAGCCTTAAACACTTGTTTACAAGTACACCACCAGTAAACAACGACATACGTCTGAAGGAGATGCAACTTGATACATTATCTTTGCAAAAGGATCCTCCTCAGGATTATTCCCTTGTAAACATAATATTAATGCATATTATGGGATGCATAGAGCATTTCTCCAAAACAATACATTGGCACTCAACAAATCACGCTGCAGCTGTATTGTATACAAAATGTGTATTTATTTTCTACATTAAGGCTGTGTGCTACGAGACCATCCTTTCACAGTATTTCATCATCTTTCACCGCTTTGAGGGGATGAGATGAGGACACCTATCATGGATACCAAAGAGCAGATTACTTCACTCTGCCATATCTAATTCATCACGCAGCTTTTTCCCTGAGAAAGCCTCTTAACAAAACGTTATCACCGGAGAGATTGGAAGACTGGCACAATTTAGTTTTACTTATAAAATTAATAGATGTATATTAGAGGTAGAGATTCCAGTGGGCATGTAAAAACAAGAACAAGGACGGCAGATTTCCAAACCCTTTTTCTATCAATCAGCAATTAGAGTTGTGGCCATAATTTAGATCATGTATAATAAAAACGCAACTATATAAATCCAAAGCTGGGGGTTTAGTATTGTCATTAATAATCTGACAAAAAAAAAACACAATCCATTAATTTATTGATTTAATTCATAAAATGACTGTTTTCACTTTACATACATTTGGTTAAACTAGATAACTGTTTGAAATCTATACGATTAATGTGTTGCTCGTGTTTCTTTCCCAGGTTGACCTTTTTTTTTGTTACATTATCCAAGTTCCAAATCTCTGAAATTAAGTTGTCGCTAGTTAATATTACGTACCGTTTTTCACAGATGATATTTTGACTAGTCAGCAGGAAAATCACAGAGAAAATGCTCATAACATTAAGAAAATCTCCATTCTGTTTAAGTGTCTATGTAAACCATGACAGTGTGGCCCCTAATTGGAAACCAGACATCACCTATTTCAATACTTGTACATGCTTTTCCTTGGGTCTAATAAGACACATTCGGAAAAAAATGAGGAGAAAAACTGATTTTTAAGATGTCTTTTTGAGATAAAGGTCAACTGTATCTAGCTCCATAGGTTCTTCTTAAACTCTCCTGACTATATTTTGAAGAATAGCTCGTGGAATAGCATTTGAGCATTCGGCTCGGTTGTAAATGAGGTACAAAATGTGTAGTATTGTGTATGATTATGCCTGTGCACAAAAGAATAAAGCTATAAAGAAACTCTTCCTACTGCAATTTAAGCCACGATACTCTGAACGCAGTGAGAAACGCAGGTTGTTATGTAATACAGGTTAGGGTGTTTTCCAGTCCGTCCATGCGAGAAACTGTGTGTATGCACATGTAGTGTGCACATATGGAGAACACATACATGTAACCGTGTGCAGTATTTGTGTGAGATTGAATGAGCCCATTGGATGACGGTTATCCACTGCTGTGAGGTATTCCAGGTGCAACGCCGCAATTACCAACAATACACACACACAAACACACACACACACACACACACACACACACACACACACACACACACACACAGACACAGACACACAGACACACCCGGACAGACAGAGACAGACAGACAGAGACAGGCAGACAGAGCCGCAGCCCATTTATGAGTCACTCTCATTCCCTCTCTAGTGCTACTGTGTTCCCTGAAACATTGGAGGAAACAAGCCCTGTCACTTCCAGCGATGGAGGACAGTTGACTGCAGCCCGAGGGCCTTATAGACACAGACCCAGTAATGGGGAGACAGAAGGGGGACTGAGACGCAAATGGAAAGACAGGGATTGATAAAAAAAAGAGGGGTGACATGTTAAGATGGAGGGCAAAAAAGAACTGGAAAAAAAGGAGTGGTACGACGGAGGAATGGAGAAGAAAAATGCAAAAGAAAAGCTCAAAGAGATTCGTCTCTACGGTGAGGACCACAGAGAGAGTCAAAGCAAGAGGAAAGGGGACAGCTGAAAGAGATGTGCGGACTTACCGAGCCAGCTTCTGTTCAAATAAACAGAAACAAACACGGGAGGAACAGTGAAGAAGTCGACCACTGAGTTGACCTCCAGCCAGAACCACAGCTTATCATTGGCCGCTATGAACTGTCAAAAGCAAAATCAGATCAGAATTATCAGCTTCATTCGCCACATGTGCGTACACATACATGCTTGTTGGAATTTTAGCCCAGTTACAAGTGGTGTCAACCTACAGTACATACAATAAACAAGTATACAAAATAAAAATAGATCAATAGAACAACCACAAGTAGAAATATTTAACAACTAAACAATATAAATATACATTCAAAAGTGTGTATGTATGTGTATATATAAATAGATAAACATACAACAACAACAACATTGGTATATGGGTTCAAAGTGCAGATAGTGATGATCGTGCATTTAAGATGACAATCGCATGGACATTTTTCTTTGCTTCTCCGACACGGTGCACAGATTGACAAAAGCTTCCGCCCACTTGCCGAGTCATGCGACTGGTTGGTGGTGTAAGCGGCTTATGAGTTTATATATTCATTCATTAAGGCTTGCGTCTGCTCCGCTAGAATGCTGCACTGGCATGACAGTGACGCCAGCAGAAGTATTTTCACCGCTTGAGTTCAAATTGAATGCATTCTATATCAGTGTTCGCTGGTGTCTCTCTGTTTGTAAGCATCGTCGGTTGTACCATAAAAAGGCAGATACAGAAAAGCCTGCCTGCATGACTGTGAGCATGTAGTTTGTGCCAGCGTGTATGTGTGCATGTCTGCATATTTGTACAGTGTATGCATGCTTGAGTGTGTATGCTTTGCGTGCATGTGCGAGAACTCAGGTGTTGAACTTACCCGCAGGCCAAAGTAAAGGAGGAAGAAGACGTTGAAGGCCATATCGATTTGTAACGTGAAATCTTTGTAGAAGTTCTGACAGGATTCTATTGGACTGGACGAGAGAGAAAAAAAGAAAACTTTAACGGTCATGAAGTGATACTGATGAAGAGAAGGGTCTTTCATATCTTTCTCATGACAAACACACTGTAGAAAGACAGAATAATCATTTTATTGTGCAATTGCTTCTCAAAACTCTCAGCGCTAAAAGACCCAGTGTCAACTGAATATAGATGAAAGTAAAGTAAGAAAAAGCGAATGCTTCAATTTGCAGTGTGTTACATTATGCAGGATCTGTCAAACATAAATACTCCAACAGATTGTTCCACATACGGTAGAGACTATTCGCAAAGAAAGAGACAACGTGGGAAAGCTACATCGGTGTTGCTTAAAGAAAGTGCAGATGATGATAAATGAGTCGGGATCTCTACGGCCTGTCATGTGATCCATCTTCATGTTTACCTTGTGATGATTACCCATTATAGGGGCTGCCCTTGACAAAAGCAATAATAGGCGTTGGGCAGTTTGCACACCCTATTCTTCACTTGGTTTTGAGCCTCTATCATTTTGCAATTCCACAGCGGAAAAGCGTGACGAGGGAACACAAACGAGTCCCATATGTTCACGTTCAAATAATGAAGTATCGGTATGCACGCAGCCCATAGGGGCGCACAGAGAGACCCTGAGCACAGCTTACTGCACAACAAAAACCTCCAGAAGAAGAGAGGAGCGAGACGTCATCATCAAGTTTCATCTCATGATCCATAATAATTGATGACTGAGTGCAGACGTGCCAGAGAGGACGTGTCGCTGGAGGAGGAGGATTTGACTTCTAATTTGAGTCTGCCTTGGGAATATCTTAAGGACAGATTTGATCTTTAAGATGATGTAAAACCCTGGCTCATGTATACGATGATCAGAATGAGTTTATGCAGCAGTTGTTTAAAACTAAAGTGACGTTTTTTGGTTGAAATGCTTTCTCTCATGCAGTGAAATCAGATTTTCGAACAGAGGTTAATTTGCATCCGACCCCTTGACAGAGTTAACATTGATCTGGCCTAAATACTCGATTAACTCACTTCCGCAGCATCCTCTCGTGATTCTGTAGGCTTTAAACTAAATCTGAATGCAAAAAAAAAAAAACATGAATAATAAATAAACCTACAGCGTGCTAAGCGTGCACAATATTCCTCACATCCGTCTGCACAACACCCATGCTCCTGCGTCATCACTCCTAAAAAGGATGTGAAACCCCGTCCTTAACAAACCTTAAAGTCCCTTGTGCAAGGGATTGCACACATCCACGCTAATACAATAGCAGGCACACGCAGATGGTGCACACTGAAGGCGCCGTTTGGAGTGGTCACAATGGTATTTCCCCTCAGGCCCAGCTTTGGCCTAATTCTGTACAACCGCTCATCTACAGTCACGTGACCCAAAACATTCGCAGTAACACAGAGGGAGCGTTGCAGCACACAGCAGGAGCTGAGTGGTAAATTAAATTCCACATTAGATTCCAATTGGTCTTCATTTGGCACTAAAAGGCAGCAAAATGGTTACACTTTGAGAGCTTTAATTTAGTCATTTTTATGATCATTACCTATAATAGTGGGAGGAAAACATCAGGAAGACATAGAGAAAGAAATAGCAAATTAAGAGTGAATCTGTGCAGGTTAAGAGAGTTGTGCAGCATATTATTGTGGAGCTGCTGAATGTTTTTTTTGACTATAAAATAACAAATAAAAAATGAGTTTGCTGCTGTTTGTGTGGCAAGTCGTCTGAATGTATCCTACGGCACGATAAACACTTCTCAAACCCAACTGTGCCTTGAAATGAGTGAAAAGAAGAAGCCTAAAAGAAAATACATTAATTTGATGTGCTTTATGAGTAGAGCTGTCACTCATCACCTACGCACAAACAGTATGAGCCACGATTCTCTGCTAACAAAGACATATTTCCAAATAAGATGGTTATATCTACTAAGATATTGAATGTATTCTAGTCCAATCTAATCCAAATGCATATACAGGCATATGCAAATACATATCTGTAAACTACGAGTGGAAAAATACAAAAACAATTCAGCAAGCAACATCTACTTTACAGAACAATGTATTAAAACGTGATAATACTTTGTGTCAAGGTGTTCACAGCCTGATGTGCCGCCCTCGGGTGGCCAATGAATTATTGCGGTCTAAATCGAAATCAAAGGGACAAGGCTATCATTTTTGGGAGAGGAGAGAGGTGGTAAAAGTAAGAGGGCGAGAAAAAGGGGAGGATGAGAAGGTGACAGTGCAAAGCGAGGGGGACTGTGCTCGCAGGGGTTTGCTTTGTACTATTATTAGTCAATATGCAGCCTTGCATCCCGTGTTCAACAGGTCATTGGTTCCCTGTCCTGTCTTGTGTATTTTGAAATTATTACTTTGTATAAAGGGTGAAATTTTTTGTGCACCACTCTATGAACATTGTTAAATACAGTCAATCGGGGAAATCCCACCAGGAAATCTGCTTCTGGAACAAAATCAACCAGACAAATAAAACTCATTTTCTCATCAGGGCAAAGGACTATGTTGATGATCTTGTCCTAAAAATAGTCTGAAACACCTTCGGCCAGTCAGCAGGAGCCGGCCTTTTGTTAGCCCGCACATGACCTTGGAAAGCTGCAGGAGACTCAGCAAGGTCGCCCCCCCCCCCCCCCCTCACCCTCAGAAAACAACAACCACTGCCCTACTAATGCTCACAACCACAGTGCAACCCACCGAATCAGAGTCACTCCTCATATCTCACAAATGTCTTCTGCTCTAGTAAGCTCGTAAGCTTCTTAGAATCCACAGTCTCCTTTGTTACTGTCCCAGTCACCACATACAATCAACATATAACCCAAACAGAAAAACAGGAAGGCGTGTAGAACGGGCTTTGAGCGCAATAAGTGAATGCCTGGGTTACACAACGTATGTCTCCAGAGGGCATTGGATGTGAGTTTAGGGGAGAAGTCTGTGACGCTGAAAGAAGACCAGGTTAGTACTTAAAAGATTGATTTAGGCCAAGGCACCATTACTAAAATAAGAAATACTTTAGCGTCTACAAGGGCAATGTACAAATAAAACCTCTCCACAGAGGCTAAAAATAGCAAACTGCTTTTTTTTTTTTTATCTGAACACAAATGACGAGCATCTAGCTTCAAGCGTTTCCTCTACAAAGACGTTATTTATTTTAGAGCCTAAAAGGAGTAGTTTGTGAGTGAAAATAGAACATCACGAAAGGAAACGAGAACTCTGCGCGATATGCTCAGCGACAAAACATATTTGAAATTAAAAAAGAGAGAGAGAGTAGTGAAAACAAAGGATTGCCATCATTCCAAGATAAAAATGACACTTTGTTTTATGGTTGATTTATTCAGAAGCCAGGAGAAGCTAAACTAAACACATCACATCGCTGCTCTTTGGAACTCAGTGAAGACATTTTTACTTTATTTCCAGGTCATTAATTAGTGCGTTTGGACGACCTCATGTAAAAATAACATTTCAATCGGCACAAAAACTACATAATTACACATATCATTATTTGTGACATTTGAAAATCCAGTTTCTTTTAGGAATACTAACACATGTGCTATTTGTTAAGAATCAAAAGTGGTGCGTTTGGTCTTTATTATATGTTGTCAGTGGTCGATGCAAATTGACACGGTCGCTTGACATTAAAAAAAAAAAGGCACTCATCATTTCAATTTAATCTTGGGTTTATCAAATGAACTTCTTGTTTTTGCTGTGTTCACGCTGCTGTCGGAAAAGCAGCCCTTCCGCTCTGCATTGAGGGATATTAGGCAACTGCAGCAGCAGATGGAATTTAAATCGACATGACGACTTTGATAAACACTGATAGCAGAAAAATGATTACATTGCTAATCGACTTTGCTAATCTCTCCGGTAATTTTGTCATTGGACTTCAATCAATTTCATGCCCCCGACGCCGCGTTTACCAGACATGGAGGGACAGACATGGAGATTTTCACTCTCATTAGAACAATACCTGAGGGCTAACATGTTATACCATCACAGTAAATGTTGTCACTATTCTCAGCACGCTGGATTGTTCCATTGCACAAAACAATTGATTTTAAAAAAAGGCGTTATTTTCGATAATTCGATTTTTGATAATTAGGGGTTGAAAAAAGTATTTTCTAATTCTAGTCTACTCATGGTTGCACGGTCTTCCTTGACCCACTTAAAGACTCAATCCATCCAGGTCAAGGTCCTCAGAAGGTCACCCTTCATGAACAAAGTCTGCCAAGTTGTCTCACTGCTCAGCCATATTTCTCACCTTACCCTTATGCATTAGCCATCAGGCACTGTTTCTTTTCTTCAGCGCGGACATCGATCTCGTACTAATGCTAGAGTTACAGGCACAGGTCGCTGCTCGTGACGTCTCTCAGAAACGAGAAATAATTTGTGTGTGTGTGTCTGTACCGGTGTTCGAATTTGTCAGCTAACATGGCTACGCGGGTGTGTGCACGTGAAAAGCCTGCGCCGTACGTGTGGAGGGAAGAGGTCGAGAGAGGAGGGAAATAGAAGCAGAAGTGGAGCAGGAACAAGGGCAACCCTTTAACAGCAGCCCGCAGAGACTATGTCCTACATTCCTCTGTACTTTGTTTCATGGGAGGAAAAAGAACAGGGCACAAGGAAGGCCGGACGGTGTTAAAGCAGTTTCCGAAGGTGGGACACACTTTCCTCTCCTTCAACATGTCCCACAAATAGCAGCGGTTTGGGCAAATGAAGTCTGCTGCAGAGGAACAGAAGAGGCGTCATGTTATCGTGCGTCGTCATGTGGCGCTCGGCGCTGAGGTAATCGCACACGTCGTCATGGAAGCCACAATATTCGTTACTTTTCATTGAAAAAAACAAGACAACCTGTAATCGCTGTGCTTAAATGGAAGTGAAGCTTCCCTCCTCGCAAACTCTACTCTACTTGCTTCCACAAAAGGCTTTGCGGTGTTTCTTTGTGGATCTTTGCGGCAGGACAACAGAAACCCCCCCCCACCTGTCAAAAGCTAGGAACAAACAGTCCCTGAGAGACCGGGGCCTGGCCGCCGGGGAGTTATGATTTTCTCCAGCATTTGACTCAGTTTGTGTGTGTGTGTGTGTGTGTGTGTCCTTGCCCCAAGGTGCCACCCAGCTTCACTGAGGTAGACACCAAAGCCCATCGTGTTGCCCCCAAACCCAACCCACATGCATATATCCCACTGCTCTGTTTTAGTTATTACCACATGGCCTCCACCTTAATTATTCTCATTACAGTTACCTTTTTCACCACAAATTTAATGTCCATCTCAGCCAATGGCAGTTTGACCATAAAGCGCTGAGCCTTGAATAGTTCACGGGTCTGTACCATCAGACTGTTAATTATTTCCATGAAAAGGCTGTCCTTTAACCACGCGCTCATCCATCTCCTCGGTCATTAACATTTAGACCGGTTCATCTGTGGAGCACTTTTAGGATACCCGAGTATGTCCACAAGTATAAATATGCGTCTGATTCACGTAAGCACGCCCCTCATACACACAAGATGATAATCGGGGAAAGAATAGACGGTTGAGTTGTCGTTTTTAGTTTGAGATAAATATCTGTCTGGTTTTAGCTTTGTCGTTAACTACACAACTCTACACAACTCTTAAATTTGTGACAACCATTGTGGAGGTTGACTCGACCCATCTAATGACAGCCCCGACGCCAGGGGCATCAACTGGTGGCTGGGGGTTGTTCGCCGCCCTCGCCTGCACCTCAACCATTTCCTAACTCAGCCTACTTCTTAGACTCAGCCAGACGCACTAGAAGAAAACGAGTTTTATGACATGTAACAATGGTTCTAGGGCGCATAATAGTCCCTCAGCTGTTGAGTGAAAGTATGGCTGTGACACAAGCCTGCCCCCCTTTGGGATGTCAATGCCCCCTGAGACGACTCAACCTGCTGTGGGTTGATCAGCAGTCCTCCTGAGAGGACGTGCACACTCAAGTGACAAGCTTGAGCTAATCAGGATGATGAGGGCGGAGGGAAGGCCTCAGCTTAATGGGAGCACGGACAGATCAGGGCAATGCTTCAGGGAAACAGACTCACATAGAAACACACTCATAAAGTTCACTGGAGAACACGATACAAGGAAATACTACTCTGATGAACAGCTTTGTACTTTAAGTGTTCTTCCTTTTTACCCCGCAGGTTTGATGTAATGACACGGTTCACCTTTGCAGACCGTGAGCTTTCTAATGTCAAACTTCATTGTGTATTTCTAGTGCATGTTGATGACATCGAAGTCATTCTAGGGCTCAAGGCATTTCTTCCAGATGCATTATAAGCATTCTCCTGGTGAGTGTCTATGTAAAAGAATATGGATACATTAAATACAACAGCATGAAGCGATTTACCCTCAGTCATCATCTGACTTTTGTTTTACATTTTTATAAGAAGACATTTATCTCAACTCCCATTTTTGGTGAAAAAAAAGACTTGTGGAGAGTGACATATACTGTACAGATAACAAATGGAGTACAGGAGGAAGAGAAGGTTTTTATCCTGAGGTACACATGGGTGGCTGGAATCATGCCAAAAATAACATCCCACCACAGTCCAAGTTGGATATTAGATTATTTTGTCTATTTTACATCTCCCTCCCTACTTTTGACTCTTTGTTCCCGCAGGCACGGGATTTCAAAGATATTGTAATAAAGCTTGCCACTGCATGAGGATAACATCCTGTACAACAACCGACAGAGGAATGAATATGATGGAATAGAAAGATACAGTACCAGGTCAATATGTTATCAGGAATCAGGAAACATTTATTAGCCAAAATATGTCAAACATACAAGGAATTTGTCTTGGCGGTTAGTGCGCGACAGTAGACAGACAAGACAACAGTGCACGAGTAATAAAATAAAGTGGAATGAAATGCTAATGCAATGGGTTAGTAGAATAAGGCTAAGGCTATGGGTTAGTATAAAATAAGGGAATAAAGTTAAAAAAAATTAAATATTGAAAAGTTAAAAAGAAAAATATTAAGCATAAAGTGCACTAACGAACAAGTAACAGACAAGAGACAAAGTGACGAGTGACAACAAATGGTCCTTATGGTCCTTTTGCAATCAACATTCCATAACTGCAGGCTCAACAGCAAGTTTGAGGCTTTATTTTGCTGAACCAGTGGTGCATGAAATACTGATAAGTCAAAGGCACACAGCGTTAGTGTGTTGAGCATGGGAAAACTTATTTGGTTGTCGCACTGCCAGAGGCACACACAACAATTTCTACATCGTTGCAAACAATTTGTATTTTTCTGCACTATTCACTGATTTTAAATGAGGGAATAGTGCTTCAAAAATGAGAGGAACCGTATGGAACAAAAGCTTCTGATAACTGTAGTCGGAGGTGGATTATAATATAGTACGATAAAAAATAATTAAAGGAAGGCAAAGGCAAAAGAAAGAAGAACATGACAGTGAACATAGAGTAGACTGTCACTGGTGAAAGTATGAAATAGGCAAAATCTAAAATGTCTTCAGCCGACCCGGTTTATTTTCACCTGAGCATCTCGTCACAGCATGATTCAATTATTTTTAGAGATTATTTAAGACCTCAGAAGATCACTACAGTAAAATGACAAACTATCCCAAAGGGCAAGTTTGTGTTTGGATGGTGTAAAAGTAGTGACAGTGGTTATTGGAGAGATGCCAGACCCGCAATCAGTCTCTGGGTGGCTGCCAGCCAGGGATATGCATAAACACTCACTTAGTCACACGTAGAACAACTACCCAACACATACAGTATCTGCCTTTCTCTGTTACCATGGAAACAGAGAGAACTCCCATTGAAAAATCCTTATTTGTGTGTGTGTGTGTGTGTGTGTGTGTGCGCGCGCGCGCATCACAGCTTGTGGGGGAGTGAATCCAAGGATTTCAGAGGCTGCAGTGTGTGGAGATGAGTAAGGACTCAACTGCACCGATCCTCCAGATACAGTATGTAGGCCAATATTCATATGCATGCAGCAAATACAAGCAAAGCTCACTTTTATTTAGAAATAGGTACAATTGGCCCACTGATACTTACTCTGATGAGTCAATGAAGTATATTCCAAGGGCCCCGATGCTGAGCGCAAAGACTAACACCACCTAATGAGAGAAAGTCACAAAAAGAAGAGAATTACTTTGTGAATAGGACAGCAAAAGTATTCTAACTGTGATCATCAATGTGTCCACAATGAATTCAGTTAGAGACAAAATAGGAAATATTAGAAACATCACCTCCTGTGAGTTGCAGAATATTTAAAATATATATACTGTATAAATGTTCACACTCATGTCAGCAAATACAGGCAGAGTCAAGGCAGTAGTCACTGTAGTCACTGTGTATCAAAAAATTGTAAAAATCAATTTACAACAATTTGGCTTTACATTTCTGTTATCATGATCATCATCATCTTGATCATCAACAGCTGACCAGCGCAGACTTGTATAATAGTTCTTCCCCTAGACGGATCTTTTATGCCATTCAGCCGCCTCACAATAGGAGCCCACCGTCCCTGCTGATTGTGCCATTCATTATTGACGATGGGACCTTGATTACTGTCATGTGATGGTTCTTTGGATTGATCGTAAGCACTGTGACTGAAGTTAAAAAATAAAAAAAAACGATCCCCATGCATTTTTAATTGTTTGCTGCTTGAATGGGGCAGGATAGAAATCCTGGCCACGTGGCTGTCCGGTAAGAATGATCATGCACGATCAACACAAAGGAGATGGGAAGAAGGCTCAAGCTGCAACTCTATGATAACATAAGGCCTTTAGAATGAAAAGCACTCCATCACTCTAATTAGGAAGGCAGTCAGTCAATATTAGATAATCCAAACCATCTATCTTGTCAATGCAGTAGTAAAAATATGTCTTGTTTGCTTTAGGAAACCACACTTGCCCCGGTAAAGGTTGTGACGATTGATTAAGGTCCTGACCTGGAAAAGTTGAGTTGGGCAAAAGGTCTCACAGCTCACGTCTGACCAAGAAGAGCAGTGGGATTCATAATTAAAAAGGTAAAAAATTCTTAAAAAACAATAGTATTTTTCAGCAGGGTGAATGCCAAAGCCCAACTGACTGAAGACGACTAGTTTGAAAATTAAAAAAATCGAGGGGTGTGGAGTGAGAAAGAGGGGGTTGATGTTGCATCGTGGTCAATGTAGATTCTAGCTTTTGAAAAGGAAGAAGAATACGTGGAGTAAATAGGATCCCTGGTTCTGTTAAGCCAATTTTATTTACATTTTTTTACGTTTTTACTAGGTGCTGCAGAGAGAGAAGATATAAGTTGACTTAAATACAAACAAAAACTGTCTTTTTCTGTGAAGCTTGATACAGTCAGACTTCCTCACGTGTATTTCAAGCATCACCCTTAAACGTAATCTGCAGATGCACATAGATGCATGCACTGCCATCTCCTTGGAGCCGGTCTGTGCTCATACTGCTCGTGCTACTAGCGAGGTCCTGAGGGTTGGAAAAGGGAGAACAACGAGGACGGAGGGAAAGATCAGAGATGTGTAGCTGAGCAGTGGTTGGTTGCTGAAAAGCTGTGCAGTGAACTGTGAACACACAGCGATGAGCCGAGGAGATAAGGAGGAGCGTCATCATCTTAAACTGACCCAGTTATTCAGCTGCCAAAGCTGGTCCGCCCCTCCGTCCCCTCCCCCAACACTTTCTCCCCCCCTCGCACGCTCTCGCTACGCCCACCACTCGCAGTGACCTCCAACCCCGCAATCTACGCGAACCGTAGCGGCATTCCCTCCGCCTACAAAAACAAGAGTGAGAAATTCAAATTAGGATTGGCGAGTATAGCTGCGGCTGCATCTGCAGTAGTTGTAAATGACTTGGGGCCGTTAACACGGTGCGTCTCGCGTGTGGTAAGACGACACGGCTGAGCCACGGCCGACAAACGGGCCGGCGTCATGTCAGAGGAGCAGCATCCGGACGTGATGTCTGCGTTTTCTCGTTAATAGCCGGGTAGGTTTTCATTGGCTTACCCCTTTCTATATTTAAAGCGGAAAGCTCAATCTGTCCGTTTGTTTTGTGCCGGTGTGCACCTTCGCAGCCACACTGAGGTGGAGGAGTTTAGTGTGTATCGCGGTCCGTGCGTGCGTGCGCGTGCGTGTGCGGTGCACTCCGATGTGCGTGCAGGTTTCAAGTTCCCGTATTGCACATGGGCTAAATGTGGCAGGGCTCACATGACACTGTTGACGTGTAATAACATGCAATAATTTACACGTGGGCTATAAACAAACAAGTCTGACGCGCTCACTTTATTTGGCAGTTGAAATGAACGATTTCGAAAGCTCATATATTGCGTGAGGTGCCACAAAATACTCCCACGTCCCACAGGGATCCTGTCTAAAGACTCCCTCCGTCTAGCAGGAGAGAGCCCAGTCTCACTGACAGGGGTTGTGGGCTGAATGATCTCTTCACATTCAGGCCTACAAGGTCAAAAGGATGGTAACTCAAAGCAGACTGTCTCCCTTAATCTGAAGCTATTTTAGTTAATTTGTCAATTAATAAAAAATACAAATTATTAATCAAATACAACGCTTGGGGCTAATGAAGCAGCTGTTCTGCATATGCTATTATTACAGAGCTTCTAGAGGTCCACGTAGAAGACTTGCAGGCATGTGGAGTGAGTGGAAAAATGAGAGGAAATCAGAACTAGAACACATCATTTTTTTATTCTGGCAAATACTAAATAATTACTTTCTAAGAATCCTTTTGGGTTCCCCAAGAATACACAAGTGTGATTTCTCGGTGGGGAGACAGGGATGCCCATTAGTGAGTGTGGCATCAGGATAAGCTTGTTCATTAATCTGGATCTGGCTCCCTCGGTTAGCCTGAAAGCTTCAAAATGTCTGATTGATGCTTCAGCCAAGAAGGATTCCAGAGCTCCACAGCCAAACTAAAGCTCTGTCGAACTAGTGCACTATCTCCGCTTCAATCCCTACGCGCACATCTGCAAGTTTCAAACAAATGAAAAAACGATGCAGTCAATATATTAATGAACATTTGAGATATTTTTCCAGAATAATTCAAATAAGTGAAACAGAAAACAGACTCGATACCCATCCACTCATTTGATTGTGTTTGCACTGCAGCATGAACATCTGCATCCGAGTGTTTGCTTTGGTAAGGAACCCTTGCTGCTAATGGGTCTAACAACAACGGCGACTGAGACGCAAAAGGAAACGGAGTCACGTGTCACTGCAGTAGGTGAGAGCGTGAGCTCTGACCGGGGAAATGTCGACAAATGAAACCTACATCAAACCATGAAGGCATCCCCCCTACCCTCCCTCCCGCTTCAAACAGAAGGGGGCTCGAGACAGGCTCCGAAAGTGTAGGACTGACCTGACAGTGTCAGAATAACACGCTCTGTATTCCAGTCACACGCTGCATAACGCAGCTCAACTGATTCCTACCGTGCGACAGAGCGGATGCACCACTGGCATACCAATTCATACGAGAGCGCTCCAACCAGTTGGACAAGAAGGACCAAACATGGACGGCAGCATTTAAAGGAGAGTTAAAGACAAATGGAACCAATTGAAAGGGCTAACTGGTACATAAAGTATGGGAATGTGTTGTTTCTAAATATAGTTACCCGTCCTTTGACCAATTTCAAAAAATAAAACCGCATGTCTTGATTTAAAAGACATGGCGTCTGTGGCCAACCCAGTCACACAGCAAAACGTGTAATAGCTCCGTGGTGGAACGTGGTATTCTCACACTTTACCCCCAAAATCGTGACGATACTACGTTTTATTTCGGCCCATTCGTTTACATTGCCTTGCAACTACGTCACTAGAAACTATTAAACGGAAGGTCTTCTACATTCTCTGATAGAAGATTATGAAAATAGAACTATATATAATAATAATAATAATAATAATATAACTAGCTAGAAATGTCATCGAAATGCATACAAATGCTGATGCTTTCTTAAAATAGTGTTTTTCACAGATAATAGACATTTTCTTTTTTTTATCTGAGGGGAAGTTGATAGTCACGTGACCTGGTTGCAACTAAAACGTGGTATTGTCACGCTTCCTCCCCCAAAGCGTGAGAATACCACGTTGATCCACAGCGTAGCAATTACCCGTTTTTTGACTGGGTTGCTGTGGCAACTTTAATCGAAGACCATGTCCCAGGAACGCTGGAAAGTCTTCTGAAAGGTGACCCTCCGAACAGACTTTCCAAAGCTGTTGGCCGCCTCTATTAAAAAAGCACTCCTCTACTTTGGAGGCAGCAAAATATCCCTACGTTTATAAATTAAACAGAGAAGCATTTTTAATGTTTGACTGTTAACGGTGCAGGGACAATTATACCCAGACTTTATATAAACAATTCATTAAATGTGGTAGGAGAAAAGGAGAAAAACAGGCCGACTGGAAGCTTTGGGCAAGTTGTGCATTGGTGTGTGTCAGAGTGGTTTTAATTATCCAAGTTCACTTTTGACTCCCAGTCATTTACATGTGTCCAATGGGGAATGGTACAAGATCTAAAAATGGACAAATAAGACGCAGGGAAAAATGAGCTCCTACATGAATGATTCTTCCGTAATGAGATGTGTCATCCTCACAATATTACAAGAGCCGCCATCTCTCTCTTCTTCATCTTTTGTGTTACAGTCCAAGGTCACGCAGGGACGGCCTCTGGAAAGACCGTTTGAGGATCAGTAGAAAGAAGTTACCCCGTCCATTATTAATCCTCTTATGCCATTTATCCACATTCTCCTCATTCAATTGACATTTAAGGAATATGCTTCACAAACAAATGAAACCATACAGCCTAGTGAATGAATAGAACAATTAAAATCATTGCTGCTTTAGTCAGTGATGTATAACAGTTCACCATCGCAAAGATGATTGTAAAACGGCCTTGAGCTGGAGACGTTGGTTGTCCAAAACAAAACATAGACATTCACAGCTACGACAAGAAATGATTGCAAATAAACCATCAGTTCCCCCTCGTGATGTTTTATTTTCTTCCCTGAAAAGAAACACATCATCATAAATCAAAAAAACAACCGAGGATGCTGCAGCGCCGTAAATGGCTCCTTTTAACCCTTATTGAGGGTTAAGGCCATTATGCGA